AGAGAGGGAGATACCCAGGGCCAGCCAACCAGGCATCTGCCAACCAGGAGACATGGCGTAGAACAAACAGGAAGAAAGAAAGGAAAAGTCCCCAAGGCAAAACCTAGATGAAGAGAAACAGGTTAAATTATGAACTAGCAAGAAATTAGCCTAAGCTACAGCTGAGAATTCATAATTAATAAGACTCTGTGTCATGATTTGGGAGCTGGTTGGTGGTCCAAGGAAAGCCTGCTACAAGGACCAGAGTTCAGGACTCCAGAAATCCAATTGCTTGAGATAACCAGCCTGCAGTTCTCAGGCTCAGAAGGTGGAGACAAGGGATTCCCCAGGGCAAGCTGACCAAGATTGGCTGTATTTGTGAGCTCTGAGTTTGACAGCCCTGCCTCGGTCAATAGGTGGAAGAGCAGTGCGTGTGATTCCGGACCTCTGCCTCAGGCTTCCGCAAGTACCACGCTCACATGCACGCACACACCACACACGTGAGGAGTGGGAAAAGAAAAAATATTTCTAAAAACAATAAAAATATACATTTAGAGGGCTGGGGAATTAGCTCTGTGGGTAAGAGAACTCACTGTAAAACCATGGAGACTAGAACGCAGATCCCAGCACCCATGTAAAAAGCCAGGTATAACTGTGTGCACCTGCCATCCCCCCAGGGTGGAGACAGGAGGACTGTTGGGGTTGGCTAGCCAAGGCAGCCCAGCCAACACACAGCTGTTCATGTTCATTAAAGATCTTTTCTCAAAAGAATAAGGCAGAGGGTGATAGAGCAGGACACATAGTGTCCTCCTCTGAATGAGTGTGTGTGTGTGTGTGTGTGTATGCATGCACATGCATGCATACATGCACACATATGCATATACAAAGATGCACATTTGTTCACATTACACACACACACACTGAAATAGCTTCAGCATGGTCACAGAATTGTGCAGTCGTCACTGCTCTCTAGATTAGGGCACTTTACGCCCCAACCCAGGAAACCCTTCTCATTTACTCCTATTAGTTTCTAACTCCCAGCCCTAAGCAACCACTAATCGAACCTCTCTATATATTTGCCCATTCTGTGTATTCCAGAGGGGACTGACCAGTGTATGGTCCCCTGTGACTGGCATCTTCTACATAGCATATTAGTTTTATGGCTCGTGTATCAGTTCTTCATTTCTTCTTGCCAAATAATACTCCATCCTAAGACATGCCTTGTTTTGTTTATCCGTCCTGCAGTTGGTGGGCATTTGGGCTCTCCCACTTTTGGCCAGTATGAACAACACTCCTGTAAATATGGAAAACATGTCTCTCCTATCTGTTGGGCTGCACGTAGGATCAGGATTGCTGGGTTTATGTCACTGTTTACCTGTGAGGAGCTGCCAGATGGTTTAGCAAAGCAGCTGCTGTTTTGGCTCTTGCTCTCAGCATGATCCCAGTTTCTTCATGCCCTTAGCAACCTTTGCTGTTGCTGTGTCTCATCACGGTAGGCGGCAATGCTGGGCGTCTCTTCTGTGCTTCTGGCCCATTTGCATAGCTCCAGGAAAAATGTCTATTCGGATCTTTTGTCCATTTTAAAAATTAAGCTGCCTTTTTATTACTGAGCAGTAAGGTGTTTTAATATGTTATAGATGTGTATTTCTGGATTCTTGGTTCTATTCCATTGTTTCTGTATTTATATCCATGCTAACACCCACTGTCTGCCAATGTGTTAATATTGATTGTTAATATGATTGTTGTTAATATGATTGCCATAAGATTTCCACTTTCTCACTCAAGTATAGGATCATTGTATAGTATCTTACCACACTAACTACTGTATTATATTTTTAACTTCATTATAATTAATATTTTAGCAACCACACACAGTAATAGGCTTCTTTATGATACTTTAATACCTGTGTAGCAGTGTTCTTTTCTTCTATTTGTACCCCAATACCTTCCCTTATTTCCCCTTTTCCCTCCCACTGGTTTCTTTGCACCCACAAAGGGTCCCCTTCTGCTTTTATGGTGTGTGTGCGTGTGTTTGTGTGCATGTGCGTGTGTGTGTGAATGAGAGGGAGGGTCGATGAGAACACATGCTATCTACCGTTCTCATTTCTCTTCCATCTCCTGTCTTGTTCCCTCTCCCTGCAGACGCCTTCCTTTCCCACATAGTCCCATTTCTTATAGGAAGTTCTAAAACTGAGTCCTCCAACTTTGTTCAACATTTTCCAAGATTATTTTAGCCATTCTTAATGCTGAAACCTGTGGATTAATTTTAGGAACCTGTTCATGTTAACAGAATTAAATCTTCCACCCCATGAACATGACAGCTTTTATTTACCTTTGTTATCTTTAATTTTGTTGGGCAGTGTTTTGTAGTTTTGGGTGTACAAGTCTTGATTTTCCTTGTTGAAGTTTACTTCTAAATACTTTTATTTTATTTTTGTGTTTGAGACAGTCTCCCTTAGAGCTTAGACTGGATTGAGCTTATGATCCTCCTGCCTCCGCCTGTGGAGTAATGGAATGTGAGTGTACATGTGTACTTTGTCCATAGGTCCTTGGATGCTTTGTAAATGAGATTGTTTTCCTTTATTTTAGCTTTTCATTTTATGCTTATTAATTTGGTAGGATTGATCTGGTGTCTTGCAGACTTACACATAATATTTCTAGTTAGTTTTTAATAGAGCCCTTCAGAGTTTTGAATTCAGCACTAAACACTGCCCCTTTCCCATTTCAGATGTTGTGTATCTTGCCTTGACTAGCAACCCGGACATGGCTGTCTCCCCTGTGTTCTTCTTCCTTTTTCAGTTCTGTTTTTTGTTTTGTTTTCACTCTTGCTTAGTAAATCTTAATAGAATCATTGTAATTGTAATACCCCCTCCCAACTTTGTTACCCGTCTCACCTCAGAACAGTGACTATGGAAACGATGAACACTGTTTTACTCGTCACTATTGGCCGTTGTCCAATATGCTTTCATTTTATTCATTTACCCATAGTTCTGAAGTCTTCTACCAGTTGTCCAACATCATGCAACTTTGTTTGTTTGTGGCATTATTGGTATCGAACATGCATGTTATCATCACTACTCTGTGTCCCCAGCAGCACTTGAGTTTTATTTGTGTTTATTTTATGCCTTACCTTTGTAGACATGTCCCCTGGAGTTTCTAATTGCTTTCTTCCTTTTTCTTCTGCTAGAAGAACCCAAGCTAATGTCATCCCTGTTTCCTCTATGTTTTTCAGTTCCTGGCTTGTTTTCTTAACAATATATTATTATCTATTCTTTCTTTAACTGAATTCCTGTTATAATTATCAGCATGTTAATATTTGCACCATTTATCTCTCAATGCCATTTTATATGTCCCTAACATACACACTACTAATAAGTAAATGTAAATAGCAATTTTAAAAATATGAGCCATAAAGCTTATTTAGAAAAATTTATATTTATAAAATTTATAAAACTTGAAGCATACTTAAACAAGAGACACGTCCTTGTTTAAGTATGGTAAGGTATACCGTACTTATAACGGTAAGGCCATTTTGACAAGAGTGAAATGGCTTTAAATATTCGCCATGCTATCAAAAGATAATTTTGATATTTCCTTTCCAGCACAAGAGTTCAGTAGTTTCCTCCCCTGCTCTACCTCCTCTTATTGAAGATTTGTGCTTTTTCTTTTGCTTTCACAGTATTAGGTCACTAGAGGCAAGGAGATAAACATACTGGCTACCTGGAAGAAGTAACAGGAGTCATAAATCTATATGAACTTCTTTTGCCAGACTTTGTGTTAGGAGAAACTTCAGTTTTGCCACTAAACATGTGCAGTTGTCCCCAAGGCAGTCTCGTTCACTCATTGCCTCCAACAGTGACCTCGGTACTGGGACTGCCCTCCTCTCAGGGCACCGTCTACCGGTGAGCGGCCCCAGACAATTATAGTACAGTTGGTATTGTGGTGGAGACGTGTACAGATATGGAACACATAGGAGGGGATAACTGTTTACAGGGGTAGGGGAGACCTCACACAGAGAGGTGGTGGGGGTGCGAGATGAGAAGTAAGTATCTGGATTGGATTTTAGAAGCTAGACCTAGAAGTTCCCCAGGTCAGAGAGTGGGCATCTAGGCAGAGGACACAGCACGTGCACAGGTGGAAGTGTGGGAGGTTTAGGAAGTGTTGGCTTGTTGTCATGCTATTAGGAGGCGTGTCTGGAACAGACTAGGATGGTAGGCTATGGCCAGATTATTAAACCCCTTATGCATTGTCTCCTACAAATCTGGTTTGAGATGGATGCAATAGAGTTGCCTCAGAAATTGAGGTAAAGCTACATCCTATTAAACCATTGACATGCTATCCCATCACAAGAAGTATTTTCCATCTCCTTTTCTACATCTCTCTACTCACTATAGTCATTTTAAAAAGCCAAGTTATAATACCTAACCTTTGTGTAAACTGAATTGAAACAGCAATAGTTTGGGGATTGGAGAGACAAGACTTGACGTTTAGAGCTATTGAATGCTGGTACTGGAAGACAGCACAGAAGTTATGCGTGCGTACTGCTCTCACAGAGGATCTGGGTTCGGTTCCCGCCACCATACAGTGACCCACAACCATCTGTAGCTCCAGTTCCGGGGCATTCCAACACCTTCTGGCCTCCTTGGGTACCAGGCATGTACATTGTACACATATGCGCATGCAGGCAAAAATGCTTAGTTATAAAATAAAAATATATAACTATTTTTTAAAAAGGTATTGAATTGCAGTTGTTGTGGCACGTACCTGGCACGTACCTGTAATCTCGGTGGTCAGTCAGCTCAGGCAGGAAGATTGTGAGTTTGAGGTATTACACATGGATGAGCTACATAACAGTAAATTTGGAGCCAGCCTGAATGACACGGGGAGGCCCTATCTTGAACAAAGATAGTGAAATGGTCTAAAAGGATGCTTTTGTCTTAATAAATAATACTTTTCAAAGGTTGCTTCATTGGGCAAGCATTTGTAATTTTCTGAAATGTTCATTTTTCTTTGTTTTTTAGTGGACAGAAGATTGCAGAAAATCAACTTATCCTCCCTCTGGAGCAACGTGAGTGACCTCAGATGATGAGACCCTTGTCCTGTGCACAGACCCTTCTCTGTAATGCTCTTCTAGGAATAACAGTAGTAAACAAAACTTAAGCCGTGTCTTTCACCTGGAGACAAGGTTTGGCTTCCTTATGTGTTTGCTCAGGCACATACAAATTAAATGGATTAAATTAAATGAATTAAGAGATACTGATTAAAATGTTCATTTCCTGCCTGTGAAACTAATAGGAAAGCAAAGGATTCCTGCCCATCACCAAACTACTCTGTCTCCTAGCGATCGCTTTTCTGCTCTATAACAAATGAAGGCATGCATACCCCCGGGCTGTGATACTCCATGGTGCCTGGGTGTAAGTCCTCAGACTGCATTGGAGAGTATAAGGAATCTGTGTATGAGAGAGCCAAGAAATAAGCCCCGACTTTATAAAACTTTCAGGCAAAACAAGACCCGAAACCACAAGACAGAACTGAAGTCGTGTTTTGTTGTAGTCTTGATGTTTTTTTTTAATTCATATTTTTGTCTTGGTAAATCTTAGTGATGACATAGACCCGAGAAACATGCAAGTGTAGTCGAGGGACACAGAGGGAGCAAAATGCAATGTGAAGGAAAGGTATAGGGAGCAGTCGTCTTTGTTCCTTGTCCTCTCCTGATGCAGGTAGACTGCCGGGGTGGGAGGAAGCAGAGTACAATTGAGACTTCCGGTTTTTCGAACATTACGAGGTCTAACCAGCCATTTCCCTAGTATATGTATTCTAAGTAACCTCTGTCCCAATACCCTTGACACTGGAGTGTCACCCCATGTCCACCCTTTTTTATCATTTCTGTGACTCATGAAGTCCTTAGTATCTGTTGTGTTGTTTGTCCCTGTGTGTTCTGTCCTTTGGGTTAGATTGTACACCACTTGTGAGCCATGTGGGCTCAGGCAGTATGATTATGGAATGGTCTGGGTTTCCAAGGATGAAGCAACACGGTTTGTAGTAAAGCAGAAAATACACTACGTTAATTACCACTGAAAGAGCATCAGTTACTGTTGGTAGAGGGGAACTGGGACAACCCAATTTGCCTGGCCCACCCACCTTTAGGAAAGATTTCAGAGTGAGCAGCTTCAGTGTTGTTCTCCAGCTCAGCCCAGTGAAGGTCTCCTTTTACATCACCGTCACTCTGCTGCCGTCCTGGCCTCCATGGCCTTGCTGGTTGTGTCTCTTGGCTGGTCTTACTGTTTAATTCACTGAATATGGAGTGAGAAATTTCTCTACTAAAGGCCTTTTTTTTAAAAAAAAAAAAAAAAACTACTCTCTTTTAAATGTACCTTACATGTATCTGGTAATGTATTTCTTTACCAACTATAAAGCTCTTGTGATTAGACATAACACAACTTGTTACTATGTGTGTATGTATGTATCTCCATATCTCTGTGTTGTATGTGCCTTCTCTCCTTGCTGGCTTTTCTGCTGTATGTCTTCCAGTTTCACCATCCCATTCTTCAACACTGAAATCCTCTGTCCTATCCTTAACCTTCTTTTCTGAACTGTACAGCAATAGCTCTCGACATCCGAGAGGTAAGGGTGACAGTCATGTACCTTTAATTGATGAGTGTTTTCCTAGTCCTGTGAGGTTATCGTTTTCAATCAAGTGCGCGAATTTTGGTGGGATACATCAGCAGATGTGAGGGAGGGAAGAGCAAACTGACTGTGAGGGAGGAAAGGGACACCTGTTTGTCTGGCCTGACCAGTCCCTTCGGTGCAGATGCTGAGGGACTGACAGCCACACCACCCTACAGCCATTGGAATCCCATTAAGCATTGCTTTTCTGCTGCTCACTGGCTGCGTCGCACCTGCTCTTATTTGTATATGTATGCATTGTGTCACGCAGGCTAATTTGCAAGCCACCTGGGAAGGCAGGTGGGTTCGGATATTATTTTGATTGATAGAGCAATGACTGGGCATAGCAAATGCTGACTCTCGAAAAATGACATGGAATTGACACTGTTTATGGCAGAGCAGCGAAACATACTGTGGGGCATCTATTGATCACTAATGCTAAGTGCTTTCTGCATCTTTCAAGTAATCGTCACTACCCTCCTAAGATAGGCACTTCTTGTGTCTATAAGACATGATGTGCAATGGTTAAATACAAGAATACTGTAGAGAGATGTTTAGTGTAAAATAAAATACAAGATTAAATTAAGCTTTAACCATGAAAACAATTTTCTTAATCAGCTTAACCAGTTCTCTAAGAACTCTGACGAGTGGAGGTTTTATTATCAGGGTTTCCCAGGCCTCTCACTTCCCATAAAATGCTGATCCTCTCTGACAGTGAGCTTCTTTCCTCTCCATTTCCTCTGTCAAGCGCTTGGGTCCGTCCGGTACTCAACTGAAGAAGACTCGGGAGGTTATGGAAGATACTAGGGATAAGCTGGCTCTGGTGGCTGCTGAGAAGGGAGGAGCTGTGACACTCACAGGTAGAACACCGCCACCAACGTGCATAGCTCCAGGAGCGCAACACATAGTTATCGCATCTAGACATGGAAATCCAGACGCCCAGCTTGGAGGAAGGAAAGGTTTGGTCCCATTAGCCCACAAATGAGCTAACCGATTACTAAACCATGGGACACAATGTAGCATGGTAGTTAAAAGAGGAGGAGGAGAATTAGAATTGTTCTAATGGTTGGGTTTCCCCCAAAAAATATAAGTATACTGTATTGATGTAGGTTCAGTTTCTAAGGAACCAAGGAACTTGAAAAGAACAACAAATTAATTATATATTTTATATACATGTGATAAATATACATACAATAAGTATACATTTAAACAAAATTACAATTAACTCATTACAATATACCAAAATTGAGTACACTTCTCACCGGATCTGTATCACAACATGAATAGGTACTGGTTAACAGTTTCATAAAACTTCACACATATACCTGGGTCCCAAGCTCAGCAACATCATTTAGAGAACCAGATATTCATGGTAGTCAAGTAAACACAGAGGCCCAGTAAATGACTTTCAGGAAATAAACTATGTCTGTCTATAAATATAAGGCTAGATGATCTGTTAAGAGCCTGGTAGCATTGCAACACACATCACTATGTACCCTACCCTTTTCTTAAAGTAATACGTGGCTCAAGCTATGGATGCTTTTAGGTTTAGTTTTAATCTGATAAATCGTTGAATGCTACACCCTTGAAAGCTATTTCAATTTGTTTAAAATTACTAGAGAAGAGCAAGTGTGGTGGCACCCTTGATCCCAACCCTTGGTGGGTGGAGCCAGAAGGATTGGAGGTTCCTGAATTCAAGGTCATCCTTAACTACTTAGCAAGATGAAGGCCAGCCTGGGCTACAAGAGACCTTGTCTCAATCTCTGCTCCTTAAGGGGGCAAGAAAATGAAGTTGCTGTAGCAGTGGAAGTAATTGTAGAGTTTGTCCATCAGAAACATGGCCCAGCTCCATTAATAAGGGGTGGGCCTCACTATATCCTCATGGCAGAGATTGCTGTGTGTAAGAGTAGAAAACCGAGAATGTATGTGGCAGAATAGTGTGTGGGCTTGGACTTGCTGCAGGCAGATAAGAGGGTCCACAGGCATACAGAGAATCAAAGAGTCAGTCACGAAAGCATGTATTTGTTGCCACTGTGGGCTTACAAAGTGGCCTCACTGAAGCTATCACAAGAGACAAAGATTTGGCAATAGTGTTAGACTGACTGACTAAGGGTTCCAGACTAGAAAACCAAGTGGTGAAGGGTCCTAGTGTCTAGAAGGGTCTAGTGGCCTAGGACTAGACTAAGTTGTTATGAGTCTTTAGGGAAAAAGCAAAAGTAGGTATTTTCTGTCCGCAGTATTTTAAGTTGTAGCTCTTGAGCCACAGTTGATTCACACACTGCCAAGTCATAGTAACCTTCCACCTAGCAGGTATGATTGTTTATTTGTATGATTTATTCTTTGAGCCAAGGCTCACAATGTAGCATCCTGAGTACTGGGATTACTATGACTAGCTCATAATGTATAATTCCATCCTATAATTTCTGAGTCTACTTAAGATTGTATGTGCAAAAGAAGGCTGAGACATCGGGTGCAAACTGAACCTTCCTTTACAGACCTTGCTTGAGTAACTTCTATATTGTTGCTATGGATACATGTCTAGTCCATCCTTTCAGCTCTGTAACCCTCCTCCTGAAAGTCAGTTCCCGCGTTTCAAGATGGTGCCCTCTCATTGCAGCTATAGAGGACCAGTTCCGTGGTACACCATAAATCTTGATTTACCGCCCTACAAAAGATGGCATGAATTAGTGACTGACAAGGCACCAATGGTATGTTATAAGTCTTAACTCTTCTTGTTCTGACTTCACAGGCTATAGTTCTGCTTTTTAAGAAGTACTTTATAAGTTGGTTATGGAAGCCCACACCCATAATCCAAGCAGTTGGGGAATGTGGCAGGACAGGTGTTCGGGGTATAGAGGTCAGCCCGATCCACATAATGAGTTCCAAGGCAGTCTTGGCTACAGTGAGACCCTGTCTCAAAAATACTACAAAGGGGATAGAAAGATGGCTGATCAATTGAGAGCACTTAAGGGTACCAGGGATCAGTTCACAGCATCATAGCGCGGGTTCACAATCACCTGTAACTCTAGTTCAAGGGCCTTTGATGCCCTCTTGGCCTTGCTGGGTACCAGGCATGCATGTGGTACACATACGTAAGTGCTAATGTTCATACACATGAATAAATATAAGTAAGTTTAAAGGTATATTTTTGAAATTCTTCTACCATGTACAGTAATTGATAGAGAAAAATGCACATTTCCCTGTAGCTTTTTGTGCTTTGGGGGCATAGAATTTGTTTCTCCTGCCCTTAGTACTATCTCCCTCCATCTAAATGGTTAAGAAGCAATGCTACTTTAAAGAGAAAACTGTTTGTATGTATTCATTGAAAACACTTTCAAATTGAACTGTTTTGCTATCTTTGTTTATTTTTTGTTTTTGATGACACGCGGTTTCTGTGGTTGTCCAGGAACTTATAGACCAGGCTGGCCTGGAACTCAGAGAAATCAGTCTGCCTCTGCCTCCCAAGTGCTGGGGATGAAGGAGTGTGCCTCCACTGCCCAGCTTGTTATCTATTTTGAATAAGTCAGAAGGTCTACATTTGTTTTCATGACACCAGTATTCATCTTAAATCTCAATGCTTCTTTGTGTTTTTAGTGTTTTATTTATTTTTTTCAGGTGAGGACTATAGTGAATTCCATCAAGAATTTAGTAAACGCATTTGTGCCAAGTGGAAAAATCATGCAGATGGTGGACCAAAAGTTGGTAAGAAATATTTCCTGCAGTTAAGTTTAAGGACACACATATGAACACACATACATAGCGATTTTAAAAAGTTGTGCTTAGGTGCAAGGAGATTGAAGTAGCAAAAACAGGGCCTACATGGGTCTACACCAGGTCCCCTTGTATATTTTATAGCTAACAGTTTAGTATTTTTATAGAACTCCTGACTGTGAGAATGAGTGGGTCTCTGACTCTTGTGCCTGCCCTTGGGACTCTTCCTCCTGTTGGGCTGTTGTGTCCAACTTTGATATGGTAGTATTTGCTTTGTCTTACTATATTTTCTTGTATCATCTTTGGTTGTTATCTCGTAGAAGCCTGTTTATGAGATTTGTTTAAAGAAGAAACAATTCATTGACCTTTCCTCAAGAATGTTAGGAATCTTTATATTTATTCTTAAGCACTGTCAAACTTGAGAACCTTCATTTCTAGGGGTTGGACTACTGGAGTCACAGGGTACAAAGCATGTCAGGTTTTAGTAGTTAACTGCTCCTTAATTTGTACAAAGCAATGGGAACATATACAGGTTTCATCAGGAATATGGGGTTTCTTGTTTTTGTAGTTAGGTATCCAGGCACCTAAAACTGAAACCTAGTTGTCCTCCCCACCTCCACCCCTCCAGGAGTATAGCTCAGTGGTAGAGCACCATGGTTAGCATGTTGGACGTCCCGAGTTTAATTCCAGAACTAGAAAAAAAAAGTTCATTTTTTAAAAGCAGTTTTTATAAGTAACTAAAAAAAAACTAAGCGATTTTGCTAAATAAAGATAAAATGGCATGTTCATTCTATGCAGTCCAATGGTGTCTGTGACCCCCCAAGTCTGCAAGGTGTCTTCATCATCTAAGGACTGCCCCCAAGTCCGCAAGGTATCTTTATCATCTAGATACCTGCCCCCTAAGTCCACAAGGTGACTTCATCATCTAGGGACTGGCCCTCAAATGAAGTATCCCCATCATCTAGGGACTGGTTACCAAGCCCCCAAGGTATTCTCATCATCTAGGGGCTGGTCCTCCAGCCCCCCAAGTTGTCCCCATCATTTAGGAACTGGTCCTCCAAACCCCCAAGGTGTCCCCATCATCTAGGAACTGGTCCTCCAAACCCCCAAGGTGTCCCCATCATCTAGGAACTGGTCCTCCAAACTCCCAAGGTGTTCTCATCATCTTTTGAATGCTGCTGCAAAGTGCAGGTCAAGGAGAGGCTGGAAGACTCTAGAGCCTATTTGGGGAACTAATGACTTTAGGGTCACATACTGTTTACCATGGGGGCTGGCCTGGATTAGGGTATTAAGCTGCAAGTCTGGCCTCTACCCACTGCTTTCTTTGCTGTTGTTTGAGACAGGGTCTCATTATGTATCTATCTCTGGCCACCCTGGAACTCACTGCATGGACCAGACTGACCTCAGACTCACAGAGATCCACCTGTTTCTGTTCCCTGGTACTGGGATTAAAGGTGTGAGCCACCATACCCGGGTACCCACTGCTTTCTTCTTCAGTTGTAACAACCAGACTTTCACAAGACATTGTCATCTCCCCAGGACAGAACTCCCTAGGGGCTGGATGACCAAAGCACTTCCTCTTTCCATGTGACCCTTGCACTTGCCACCCAGCAAGCCTGTGGGGTCATATTTACGTTCTCACCTCTTTACCAAAGTTAACATGTGGTAAATCTACCAGGTTGACCCTGAATAACAGTGGTAGAAACAAAAGGGGAATGAGTCCCTCACCTGTCCCAGTACCTGAATCCCATCCGTTCTGAACGTCAGTAGGGAGGCAGCATTGCAGTTGTTGATGCTATGGTATGGAGTCCAGTGTTACTGCATTTTAAGGTTGTGAAACTTTAGTTTTCTGATTTGGGAGGATAATATTTACTAATAATACATGTTCCATATGGTGGCTGTTAGGACTAAATGCCATATTACTCTAAGTAAAGTATCATGCTTAACACATGTTTAAGTCCTGTGGACTTATTAGTTAAGATGTGTTACATTCGTTTATGCTGTGGAATCTTTGTTAATGATGCAAAGATGTATTGCATTCTTTATGTTGCATTTGTTTAACTCTGTGAAACTGTGATACTTTGCCTGTCCAAAATACCTGATTGGTCTAATAAAGAGCTGAACAGCCAATAGCAAGGCAGAAGAAAGGATAAGTGGGGCTGGTGGACAGAGAGAATAAATAGGAGAAATCTGGGAAGAGGATTAAGGAGGTTTAAGAAAAGAAGTTGGAGAACATCAGGGGCCAGCTACCCAACTACCCAGCAAGCCATGGAGTAAGAAGTAAAGAAAAGTATACAGAAATAGAGAAAGGTAAAAGCCCACAGGCAAAGATAGAAGGGCTAATATAAGGTAAGAAAAACTGGCTAGAAACAAGCCTAGCTAAGGCTGGGCATTCATAAGAAGGAAAGACACCATGTGATTTTTGGTGAGAGCTGGTGCTGGGCTCCCCAAAAGAGTAACCCAACTACAGTCATATTTGTTAAATTGGCTGGAGCAGTTCACTCTCAGTGCCTTGAATTCACAGGAAAACACATAATATGCTTAGGTCACCTGAGTTCCACCACCAGAACGCCATAATTGAAGGACCAAACCAACACCTGCAAGTTGTCCTTTGACCTCCACACATGCCTCCACACACACCCTGTACACAAAATAAATAAGCAAATGTAAAAAAAAAAAGGGGTAAATACAGGGCTCGTGAACTTTAAACACACTGTCTTTGCTGGAGGAAATAATTGTGCTTTCTGCATTGTTCTTAGCTGAGGTTGAGAACAAGATACAATGTCCATCATTGAATTGTTTATCTGTTGTTTGCTAAGAATTAAATGCAGCTGATGGGGCTTAGGTCAGGACCAGCCACTAACCCTGAAAAACAGTTTTGTGAAGCTGTAGAATACTGTGCTTGTTGCTGTGTGTTGCCTGTCACCTAAGAGTGCATGAGCGGAACTTTGCTCATTATGTTGGTCTAGGTGGAGGGTCACTTTAAGTCACACAGGTAAAATGATTCCAGTCCCCTTCTCTCTGGGAGCCAGCCCAAAGAGCAATAGGAAACCAGAATTACAGGTTTCCATAGGAGTCCACCGCCGAGCATGAGATGTAATCTTTTAGAAATATATGATGTAGAATGCTTTAAAAATAACATACCACCTATCGCCATGACAGAATGTAGGAGTTGTAGGCAGAGAGCCAGATCGTAAAGCCTGGGTTTAAGATCAGTGGTCATTAATTTCTTTCTTTTCAGCCTGGCCTACTTGGCAAGATTCCTGACCCTTTTGAAGATGAAATGAAGGGAATTGCAGATGTTACTGGAATTCCTTTAGGTAAAGTTCACCTTGCAATGTTTGAAACATTTGATAAAACACTGAGACATATTTGAAGTCTGATGTACTGTAGCAATGAAATGCACAAATCCGGGGTTTAAACAGCTTGTTGAAGGGTTACATATGCATCCACGCCTACAGGTCTCACTCATAAAAGGTGAAGGAACTCCAGTCTGTCCAAATGTGTCATCTGTCCCTTCACAGATAATAACCCTGCTCTGCCTTCACCTTGTTAAAAATAAAACTGAACATTTGAATTGCTGTTCTTTCTTAAGTCCATCGATGCAGGGTGTTGTTTTCAGATTCTGCATGTTAACAATGAGGCTATTATTGTATGTGTGCACGCATTCTTGCCTATGTTTTTAATGGATAGATATATACACAATTTTCTCATGCTGCCCTTGTCAATAAGTCTATTCATTTTAGGAATTGTCTCGCAGCATTTACAAGACTAAGTACATAGCCAGTTACCCCGTGACCCCAAAGTTCAGTTCAAGAGAAATGTACTTGTAGCCTTGTAAATTCTGCAAAACAGTTCCTAAAATGAGCAGACTTATTGATGAGGGCAGCATGAGAAATTTGATTTCCTCTCGTTAACACTGCAAGTTACTGACTTCCTCTCAGTTTGACCTTTCTTTTTTCCTCTATTTTGGGGAAGGGCAAAACACTAGTCAGGTCTCTTCATATATTTCTGATAGATGAAGCCCCGTTTACTAAAATTGATTATCTTTGTTTCCACACATCATAGTGGCATCTTTGATGTAAGTCAGACGATGTGTGTGAACTTTCTTCTGTTTCATCGTCTTTGTCTGTGTCAGTCACAGGCTGTCTCGGTTACTAAAGCTTTATAGTAGGTCCATTCTAGCCATGTGATGCTTCACCTCTGCCTCCCTTCCGCATCCCTTCTCTGTTGTTCTGCATTCCCCTATGCTTCATAACTAGCCTGCTGCCGTGACAACCTGTTGATGTTTGGAATGAAATTCATATATCCTTGAATATCGTTTAATGTCAGCTTTTGTTTGAGTATTGTTTTCTCAAAGGCATTTTTTTTTAATTTGGGGAGAAAAGGTTTTATATATTACTCATTAAATTATTCTTAGGTAGTGGTATTTTGGGCAACGAATTTCTGTCTTCTTGCTTTTGTGTTTTTCTATTTTAAGGCCAATATTCACTGCTATTTGTAGCCATGCTGGCCTAGTTTCAGGGTCCTCCTAATCCCCCTGAGGGGTGATGGGATTCTGGGCATGTGCAGCGTTGCCCAGCTCTTACAGGTTTTTAGTTTCAGTTTTCAGTTTATACATTTATTGTAAAAGGTTTTTCTCATTAACCTAAAAGCAAAAGAGTCTCCATTTTATGTACCCAGTGAATTTTTCAGAAGAGAATTGATTGAAAATCTCTGTTTCCCAACAACATTGGCTAGTGCTTTTTTATTCTTTTGCTTCCCTAAATGATCTTTTAAGGGCTGGTGATACGAATTGGCAAGTAAAGGGATTTGTTGCTAAGCCAAACAACCTGGGTGCTAGATCCTGAGATCCATCCACATTGTGGAAGGAAAGAACCAGCTTCCACATTTTTTTCTCATCACCACACATGCATCATGGCAAACTTAGACACACATGGCAAACCCATGCATACATCTTGTATGTGCACACAAGGATAAATGCACATATAGATAATATAAAAAATATTCTGTCAGGCAGTGATGGCACACACTTTTAATCCCAACACTCAGGAGGCAGAGGCAGGTGGGTCGCTGAGTTCAAAGCCAGCCTGGTCTACAGAGTGAGTTTTAGGACAGCTAGGACTATACAGTGAAACTGACTCAAAAAAAAATCTAACTAAAAAATAATTTAAAAAGATAACATACTGGAAATATATATTTGTAATTTACATGAGAAGAAAAGTCTTTTTGTTGTTGTTTTTTTGAGACAGGGGGTCTCTGTGTAACAGCCCTGGCTGTCCTGGAACTGTAGACCAGGCTGTCCTTGAACTCAGAGAGATCTGCCTGCCTCTGCCTCCCAAGTGCTGGGATTAGAGGTGTGCACCACTACTTCACAGTGAGAAGAAAGTTTTAATATAAAAAGAGCCCTCACAAGTATTTATAAAATATAAATCTTTAGAGAATAAGAATTAACATAAATTACCTGAAAAAATATATATCAGAGTAAAAATACATGTTAAGCCCAGCATGCTAGCATTTAACAAGACAGAGAAAAAACATGCTACATACCTTTAGGTTAAAAGCAGAATGGTGTTTTCCTTATACTGTTATGAATAGTTACAAAACAGTATCTTTTTTTTAACAGGAGAGATCATTTCATTCAACATTTTCTACGAATTGTTCACCATGTGTACATCAATAATAACTGAAGACCATGAAGGTAATCTTTGCTAAGGGAGCGTGGCAGTGCAGAGCACAGCATCAAATACAGCTTTTTTAGAGTAGAATTAGAACATTTACCAATGAGGCTTGCTGTTCCCATTGTGTGTATGTTGTATATAGTTTAGTATATCCTGGTAGATCTTTATAAGCACACTGAAAATTAGCCTTAAGACAACTGGAATGCTTATTAAACTTTAAATCAGAATGTGCCACTTCCCGATGACTAAGCATCCAGATAGATGGTTCTATGGGGGCCATTCTTATTCAGACCACCACAGACTGTGGCAGATGCTTTTCTGGAGACCCAGGACAAACATCCTCTCATAATTTCCCAGTCAGCAAGCACTGTGGATGGGAGCCTCACTTTCCTGACTGGTCCCCAATATATATGGCACAAGGTGACTTGCCCTTCATTCACTCTGACTTTTGACCTATATCTAATACTTGAGATGTTCATCTCTAAGTGGCAATTAAGGAATTCACATTAAGAGGTTAAGATACCTGTGTCCTGGTAGGACTGTAGTTGTCCAAGGAATAAGGATTTGCTTCCATAGCCGATCTTATCTGAGTCCCCAGATGCAAATGTTACTGTCCCAATGTGATAGTAATACTTGTTTGAACTTTAGGCTTATTCTGGCTTCCAGGCTCTTAATTATTATATATTGCTAGATTATACAGCTCTGAATAAATTGTCACATCTGTCTGTCCGTCAGTGATTAAGAATCCACTGTACTTTAACTGTGGATACATGTCTCTGCTGCCGCTTCCTTCCTCATAGGTCATTTACTACATGGAAGAAATATGGATTTTGGCATATTTCTTGGGTAAGTAACCTGACATCCTTTCACTCTATAAGAAGTGTTGACCGTAGTATTACCTTGATAAAAAGTAAGTCCCCCTCATGTGCAGATGGTCTTGAGTGAAGATGACAGGATTCCTTAATGTTGGAAAGGCAGGCACACTGGGCAGACTTAGGAGTTGTGTTTCAGAAGCTGCACCTAGTAAACAGAAATCAGGACCACGCTTGAAGGGCATAGGGGCTTATTTTCATTTATTGCTTAAAGGAATCTGTCATCTTGACCTTTACGAGAAACTAGCAGCTTTGTAATTAGAGGTCTTCATTTGAATCTGGGCCTCACTATTTAGCCAGAGTTAATCAACTTTTCTGAGCCCCAGTTTTACTACCTGGAAAAGGGATGAAGAAAAGTTTATTCTGGCTCAGAGTTCAGAGGTCTCAGTCTGTGATCAACTGACTCTTCTATTTTTAAGGCTGGTAAGCCAGAGAGCATCATGTTGGTGGGAGCAGGTATTGGAGGAGGCTGCTCACCTCCTACGGTGAGGAATGCATTAACGACAAAATAGAGCCCCCAAGGGTGCACATCCAGGACCCTGCTTCCTTCATATGGGTCCCACCCCCTAAGTTTGTATCATCTCCCAGTAATCTCCAGATTGTTAGCCCACCAGTGGATTATTAACCTTATCACCTCCAAAGCCTCACCTCTGAACTTCGGTGCATTGGGGGCTGGGCCTTGAATACGAGCCTTTGAGGGACATTTCAGATCCAGACCATAGCACACTCAAAGCTCTTATTAAAGTTGGTCCTAAGTGAGCAGGCAAATAAAGCACCTATAAGTCAGACATGGAATCTCAGGCCTGTAATTCCAGCCCTTGGTAGGTCGAGGCAGGAGGATTGCAAGGTTGAAGTCATCTTGGATTCCATAGCAAGATTGAGGCACAAACACACAGCACCTATGTAATGCCTCCTCTCAACTCCATCTCTGTCTTTAATGTCACCAACATTTGTCTTTTTTAGGTGGAATATAAATAATAACACGTGGGTTATTACAGAAGAATTAAAGCCTTTAACAGTGAATTTGGACTTCCAGAGAAACAATAAGACTGTTTTCAAGGCTACAAGCTTTGTTGGATATGTGGGCATGTTGACAGGATTCAAACCAGTAAGAAATATGTTATACAACTTTCTAAATAGTTTGTGTCCTGGTTTTACTGTCTGGGAATCCAAGAAAATGAGGATATATAAAGAATATGAAGGTACACATGATATCACACTCCTTCAATTCTAAGGAGGCAGATGTTGCTGAGTTCAAGGACAGTCTGGTCTACATATGAATTCCAGGCCAGCCAGGACTGTATATGGAGACCCTGTCTCAGATAGACATGCAAAAAGAATCTGGAGACCTGTTTTATTCCCTGTCCTTATCACTTTTGTCAGTATGAGACCCCACACCACAAAGGAAATGGTTTTTGTGGCTGTTGAATCACATGGCTGGCAAAGTCTCAAAGTAAAGTGGAGGTCAGGGCCTAGGTGTCCTGCTCACTTAGGTACATCATGATGAGTTCAAGGTGTGGGTTCTTTGCTCTTCATTTCTTACAGTAATTCCCCACCCGACTCATCTCACACAGTGCATGCAAAAACGTTTGAACTTAGAAGAGTCTTTCGGGCGTTACTGTGGTTTTGATTCCTCTTTCCATCTTCCAGTACTCAGTTCGGGTCTTTCTATACCACTGTCCTGGATGAATTTCTGACAGCATTGTTTTGTCTTTTTCTCAGGGACTGTTTAGTCTTACACTAAATGAACGTTTCAGTTTAAATGGCGGCTATCTGGGTGAGTAAAATGTCTGGAGATGCATCAGGAATCTCAGTCTTCGTGAGGGAGGGCAGTAATCTAACCTCTTCTTGGTCCTCTGACACTGTCTGTATCTCACCTCTCCCAGGTATCCTAGAATGGATTTTGGGAAAGAAAGATGCCGAATGGGTCGGGTTTATCACGAGATCAGTTCTGGAAAATAGTACAAGGTGAAGTGATTTGTTGCCTTATCATCAAATATCTCTGTTAAATACAGAACTATTTACCAAGACTCAGCTTCCCATCCATTGGAAACATTGTATTTTTTTAGGTGATTCTTTGGTGTTCACATGGAATTATTCCTGTTTTCTGTGTGTTCTGTACTGTCATAGCAAAGCAATGAATTGGATTATTAGTATTAGTTTTACAGATATTGACATAAGTTTTTGTTATATAAAAAAATCCTACCATGTGCATAGGAAAGCTATATAGTAAAATCTTTATATAAATGGTAATACATTCAGTTTCTTGCCACAGGAAAAATATACAAATTGTAATATGTAATACATATTAACCTAGACGTTATAGTCTGTTGTAGTGCTGAAATAATACCAAATTGTCTTTAGCACATACTGTGTCCACATGACTTGGACAAAATGAGCATCGACCTTACTTTTTAAACACTTCGTAGGAACTAGAAGTTGGTTGTCTTCCTTGATTATCCACTCTGGTTTTTAATAACTCACTTTCAAACTTACTTCCTGTTCCCCAAGTACTGTAGCATTTTTGGGGGTGTGCTTTTGTTGTTTTCTTGGGACAGAACCTAATATAATCTGAGCCGGTCTCAAGCTCACTAAGTAGGTCTCAAGATGACCTTGAACTCCTGATCCACTAGCCTGTACTTTCTAGGTGCTAGGATTAACAGGTACACCACCATGCCCAGTTTAGATGGTGCTGTGAGCAAAACCAGTTTTGTGCACGTTGCCAAGGGCTCAGCAAATTGAGCTACAGCCGCAGCCCTCCCCAGCACTGTAATTATCCCCCCTTTCTCTTGTTGAATAGAAGACATAGACAAAAAGGCTAGAGGATGACTCTTGAGATTCCTTCAGATTAGGGGTCCTCCTAAAATCCCCACATGCAGACCAGTGATCATCCCAGTGTTATTACTCCCCACGGTTCCTCACAGCACGTTCCCTCACCTTTCCCAGTCAGTTCCTTTTTTGTCTAAAAATGCTTTATTTGATGCCAGGGATATAGGTATATAATACATGTATACAGATCAAACATTTACTGCAAATAAATTTACTTTAAAACAATTGTTTGGTATACATCAGATTGTACCATTCATTAAAGACAAAAGCAAATGTGCGTACTAACGACATGGGATGCACTTGTTTATAAGAAGAATTAAATCTCGACTGAGTGTTTGCTCCCACAGCATGTAAATCATCTTCATTTTTCAGAGTTGACTGTCAACATTCAGAACGCCTCTTGACATAGTATAAAACGGCAGAAATAGATTTAGGGGCATTTTGGCATTTCTGTCATAATCCTAAACTGAATGTAATTTCCCAGTGTTTTTATGAAACTCATCAGCAACTCAGAGTAAGTTTTAAAGTTAGGTGTTCTAGTCTGAAGCAGTGGTTCAGGGGCTGAGAGAACTTGCTGTTCTTGCAGGAGTTGCTTTCATTTCCACCTCCCACACAGCAGCTCACAAGCACTTGCAGCTCTGCTCCGTGGGCTCTGATGCTCTTGTTTATTGCTGTTGTACACGTGGCTTACACAGTCAGGTACACACACATTTACACATGATAATATTTTTTAAAAGTTAAACATTCTAACATAATTCAACCCAAACATAAATTAGTTTTATACTTACAACTGAGGAATAATAGCAGAAAGTTATTAAAATGTTTTGTTTCCATAATGAAACCACTGTTTCTGTGTGAACAGAAAACCTAGGATGCATAGTAAAATACTTCTGTTTGTAACGGGGCGTTAATTCCAGCTGCTGCCTTGAGTGTGAGCGAGGTGTTTGAGGCAGCACCCAATGGTGTGATAGCAAGCGCAGTGTGAAGTGCACAGAACCAGGGCTGCAGGGAAGTTGCACTGCAACATGCAAGTGGAGAGCACTTTCACGGATACCTTGGACTTAACATTTATGTGATTTAGAACTAATGTTCGGTCCTTGCTCATTCAGAGAGCTTTGTTGCCAACTGTGTGTGTTCACATTCAGTTAAGTAACTCTATCATGGGGCCTCCCATACCTGTTTCTCTTTAGTTTCTACGACTAAAACGCATCATTCAAAATCAACTAAAGCTGCTTACTTTTAAAAATGTTTCTATATAGTTATGAAGAAGCCAAGAATACCCTGATCAAGACCAAGATAATGGCCCCAGCATATTTTATCCTGGGAGGCAACCAGTCTGGGGAAGGCTGTGTGATTACACGAGAAAGAAGAGAGGCTTTGGATGTATATGAGTGAGTGCATTTGATAAAACAAAATAGATAAGAGCCCAGGTGAACAGGAAGCCTAAGAGGAAGCTCTCTTTTTTATCTAGACTCGATCCGAAGCATGGCAGATGGTATGTGGTCCAAACCAATTATGACCGGTGGAAAAACACCTTGTTCATTGATGACCGCAGAACACCTGCCAAGATGTGTCTAAATCGTACGACACAGAAGGTACATTTGCGTTGTCACATACAGAAAGACACTGTCCCCATGATGGATGGATGATCTTAGCTCTGGTGGTTTTCTCCTACTGTATATCTCTAGACACACCTCATGGAGCTTTTTAAGTCCTCGTGAACTTAAGGAGCAAATTCTTGCTGTAATTTCCCTTCCTTACACTAATGCCAGATACCAGTCTGTAAAGTTAAATAGCAAATTCTGAAATGATAAATTTCAAAAGGGGAGGAGGAGGAGGAGGAGAGAAGTGGCCCATGAGAACTGTCACCTTTGTTTCTAGCAGTGACTCCACCGGAGGTGCCTTAGGAAGACTGAAAAGTATTTTAGTTTTTGATGGCCCAGCTGTATGGGTAAATACAACTGAAGGTCCATAATTCATCTACTGAACACAATTGTTTCTGTGTCTTAGAATCTCTCGTTTGCAACCATGTATGACGTCCTATCAACAAAACCTGTCCTCAACAAGGTATTTACATACACACACACACTGCTTTTGGGGGAAGAATGTTGTTTTATGTTTTGTTTTTCTGTGTTACCTTAGCTCATTTTGAACATATTAGTTAAGTCCAACTTCAGGTTTATTATTTATTCATTCATTGATACATTTTTCAAGACAGTGTCTCTCTGTCCCGGGCAGGCCTAGAACTCCGTTTTTAGGCCAGGCTGGCCTCTGGTGTGCACAGTTCTTCTGCCTTAGCCCTCTGAGTTCTGGGATTGCAGATAGGCACCACCCCACTCAGCTTTAAGGTTTGATTTTTTTCAAAACTCTTTTTGTATGCTGGAAACCACAACTTTAGGAATGCAGTAAGGGCGTTGCTCACTTGGCAACGCTGTCAGTGTTGTTTCAACTTTGGTGCTCCTTCCCCTCCCCCACTGTAACCGAGAAACCTAACCACCCTTATGGTCATTCTTTGTACAGAGATACATTCTGGATAAATTGCCCTTGACTATCCCATTTTTTTGTTTGTTTGTTCTTGTCCGAGTTTCCCTAAAATAAACAGCCTGCATTACCTCTGCCAGAAGGAAGTCCTTCCCTTTAGCATTTGGAACTAAGCAGGAAATGGCCCCCTTGATTCATCTCAGTCAAGCTGCCACCTTTCTTTTCTCCTTTGAACAGTATCCCCACGTGGCTTCGCGGTGGGGTGCATTACCTGGTCTGCATGACCCCAAGGGTATGGGGGTACTCTGTACTCGGCCGTGTGCCTACAGTTTCCTTTCTGTAATGGAACTGCATTGAGAAGCATAGGCAAAGCCACACTGGTCTGCCTCGTAAGGAATCCTCGGGCTTTGTATGTGTGCTAGTTATCCATGGGAGAGGGACAACTGAATCTTAAAATGTTTGTTGATTACTATTAAATAGTACTATAGCGTAAATTCTTTGGTGGACACAAATGCTAATATGTGTAAGAAGATCTTAGACTTGAAAATATCATTAAAATGAAAATAACCTTTTCTTTTCAGCTGACTGTATTCACAACCTTGATTGATGTTACCAAAGGTCAGTTTGAAAGTTACCTCCGGGACTGCCCAGACCCTTGTATCGGCTGGTGAGCACACATGGCCTACTGGACATACTGAGACCGGAAGATGTGTTCTCTGGCACGGCTCATCTTCCACAGGCTAAGACTCAAGGCCTGTTGTCTTTCGTCATGAGATGTCCTCAGCGTGTCTGCAGTTTACAGACTGTGTCTGTGGTTTGCCTGTTTTCATCATCATCACTCCCATTTACAGAGCAGTTCTTTAGGGATGCACGCTGTGTGGAATTTGCCAGTTCATTTCACTTTGACACTGGGGGAGAGGTACCCTGACCTCTGTGGAACAGATCAAGGTCCTTTGCTGGTGTTAGTCCAGTGCCCTGTGTGATTGATGTATACGTTCATTCACCTTTCCTTTTTGACCTGGATTATTTATGTTTTTCTGTATACCAGTATTTTCCTCCTGGTTCTCTATCAGAATCAGCATGTCATTCACCTTCGCGGTTAGTGACAGCAATGTGATTTCACTATGCTTGTCTGGGGTTTCTGAGATAGACAACATTATCTTAATGGATAATACACCTTTGACTCTGAAAATAGTATTTGGGAGGGTTACAAAATAATCATTATATAAACAGTATTTTTCTAGAGAATAAAATTGTTCTCGTTTTCCTAATTATTCTACCTTCCAGTAACCCCAGGAAGTTTCTAGCTCAAAAACATGAGTTCAAGAACTCAGCAAGCTCATTATTATTGTATGTATAATCCATTTAATAATTGTTTCATTTTTCATTCTAATCAACATATTTTTTTAACTTTTCATACAATATAGTTATTAACAAGATTTTTCAGAAATCAACCTATTTATGAAAAACGCTAACAGAACTTGTTCACCTTTCTTTCACAGTCGACAGTGAAATGTGTGCTGTTTGTGCCAGACTGTACCCATTTAATTTTGTACAATCTTGTTTTCCCAGGATGCCCAATAAACAGTCACTGGCAGTCATGTCAGCACTCATGCATGCTGGCTGGGTGTGTGCCTGTGTGGCTTTGAGGGTGGGGGTCATTATCAAGAGATACACGCTGAGCATCATATCTAGATTAAACAACAAGGGTTATGCAAGCAGGTTACTAAACATATGACTTAAATGGTCACAATCTGTCATGACTAATACTTACCTCTTAACCTAGTAGTGCCGACCCAGTTTGCAGGTATGCAAAGGCAACTTTTCCCCCCCGAGACTGCACACAGGTGCTTCTACGATGCCAGCGTCTCCAAGATTGTTATAGAGAAGGAACAGGAAATCACAAGAGGATTTGTATTACAGTAAGATTCTACGGTAGTCACAGTGGTACATGGTAATCACATGGAATCTGAGGTTGAGAGGTGTCAGTAGAATAATTAGAAGTCGAAGACCAGCCTGGGATACATGGGACAGTCTCTAAGAACCAAAATCATAAAAATAGAATAACATTCAATTAATGGAAAAAAGATTCCAATTTTAACCCTTTCATAAGAATGAAATGAGATAAAAATGAATCCGTGATATGTAGTATGCCTTGGTAGAACGATTATAGTATGTGACATTCTTCTGATTGCTACATGCTGCTAACTTAGGAGTAAGTCAATGACTTGGAATAACTGGCATTAAAATTTTAGTAGCATTGTTTAGTGGTGAAGCAGCTTTTAGACAGTGTATTTAGTCTAAGCTTGTTTATACAGGTGTTTACACATAACTGTATAGCTAGACTAGAAGGTGGTGGCTGGGAGGGTATTAGCCATGTTGACAGTCGTTTCCCCTGATGAATGGTCAGGGCTAGTAAGACTCAGGCTGGACCCCAAGCATAGAAAGTAACCTACCTGCTTAATATTTAGGAATATGACTTTGTTGTTGTTGTTCATTTGCTTTTTTGTTTTAAGGCAAAGTCCTAGGGCCCTGGCTAGCCTCAAAATTGTGATCCTCCTGCTTCAATCCACAGTGCTGTGACTCAGGCATGAGCCATCAAACTGGGTTTAGGAATTTTGATTTCAAATGGGGTCCCACACTTAACTAGTATGCATCCGGCCCTAGGTTCAATCCCCAATACCACCAAAAAAATTGTTAAAGTAAGAGGCTGGAGAGACAGTGTAATGATTAAGAGCTCTTGCAGAGGACTCAGGTTTATGACCCAGCACCCAAATGGTGGCTTACAACTGTCTGTAACTCCAGTTTTAGGAGATCCAACAGCCTCTGCTGGCCCCCATGAGTAACAGTTTCTTATATAGTGCACATACATGCATATGTACAAGCAAATACATACAAATAATATTTTCTTAAAAATCAAATAGAACTCTAGGATAGCTCACCTTGCTGACAGGTACCACATATGCAGAACTCAGTGTATCGGGCTCTGTAACAGAGAACAGCTCTGCATGCAGCAGCTTGCCTTCTCAACAAACCCGTTATGCTTGAAGTCCTACTTGACAGTGAGAAAAGGAAGGCTGAGTTGCTCAGTTACACTAACAGGGAGAGGAGCTGGGATTTGAGCCAGACGTGTCCAACTCTTGGGCTTTTAGCATGACACTGTATTTCATAACTACAGGTAGCACAACAAGCAGGCTTGACGTGGGAGGCTTCCGCTTGGGCTTCTGTGTCCAAAGCCACCAGCCACGTTGGCTCTGTCATCTGCTGTTTCTTTGTAAAACAAGCTTCCATAGGGATCAGAAAGCTGAGATCAGAAATTGTTGTTTGTGTTGTCTCTGAGAACACATGATTTTCACTTCTACAATCTCAGATGTGCTTAATTCGTCTTGGGGACTTAGAATTAAAGACCCAGTCTTTCTGTGACCGACACAGCACTACATTAGAAACACCAAGTTTGGGTTTCGGGTCTGATTGCAAAGCCCAGGCACTTGCTATTGAAGTCAGAGTACGTGAGTCATTAGTTGATGTAAATTGACTTACATTCACCATCTTAGAACCATGGGCGTTGGAGGTGGCCAGAGGTCCTAGACTCTCTCATACTGTGCACTAGCTCTGCCAGCAAGCCATGGAGGTGTGGCTGGCCCTGAGCCATGAACACAGCAACTTGTCAGCCTTTGGGGATGCTCTCCTTCTTGGACTGGGAAAGCAGGGTTTCCTAGCCAGCTGTTACAAGGCAGACTGATTTGCTTGGGCAATTTCCCACGGCATTTCTACATACCATGAGAAAAGTTTACATCAGACTCTGGAAGGATTTGCTTTGAATAATAAAGATTCTTGTCTCTCCACAGGGCAAAAGTTGGTCAAGCTGACTAGAATAGCTCTTCATGTATTCCCGGTAGTTTCCTAAGCATGAGATGATGCCACAGTTATGATACAGGTCATGTGAAGTACAGCATCCACTTGGCCTATCCATTACATCCTTGGAAGACTTGGGAGTAAGGCAAGTGGAACAGATGCAAACACAGAGGTCCTTAACTTTGGCCAGAAGTACCATCAACCATTAGGCTGTGTGGCAGGCTAGATGCTTGAGCTTGCAAGCAGGGTAAGATCTTAGATCATTCATGGTTCTTGTGACCTCATGTTGCACTTGTGCTATAGATATTCCTTGAGATACTGATCACTGAGCTTTTTAAAAAGAGCAGCTGGGCAGGGACCCATGCATGTAAGCCCTTGGGACAGCTGCTGCCTTCCAGGCTTCTTTGACGCTAGGGCAAAGTGAATGCTGTATATTACAATTCCTCAGGGTCTCAGCAGACTGGGGAAGGAGTGGCATACAAGACATGAAGTAAATTGATGTAAATCATTTGCCTTGTTGACCCAAAGGGCCTGAACCAACTGAGTTTTGCATAGTGGATCTCTACATAAACATATCTAGCTTTCAGCTATACCTTTTTTTCTGAGAACTTCAACCTGCCTTGGTGGTCCTGGTTCTTTCTTACCGATAGTGGTGATATCTGGAAGCTGCTGCTTCCTTAAAAAAGGCTGAGTATGACCTAGCAGGTGTCTGAGGACCTAGCTTTCTGCAAATGTCATCACTATCCAAGTGACAAGAGTCCAGTGAAGCATCTAGAAGAATTTAGGTTCCAGGTACTATGGAGCCCAGCACACAACACTTTTGAGAGGTGAGTGGGAGGTGCAGAGGTATTGGATCCTGGTAGATTTGGCTCTAAGGACATAACTAGAACCTTTGCAGCTGATGTGGAAGCATCCAATCTGGTGGCCCTGATTATACCAAAAAAATGCATCTGCAGTAGGGAACAACTATTTATAAGTAAAGGCTGTTAAAGAAAAATTACTCACCAACAACAAGAGATGGTTGAATGGTTTAAAGGCCTTTATCTTGTGATGTCAGATACTGAATCCAGGACCTCACACATGCTAGCCAAATGCTTTACCTCTGAGATAACTATGTGATAAATTTAAGGCAATACTGTACAATCATTCAACAGTTTTTCAGAAGCTAAAATTACATGTAAAAATTCAATGGCTATTTTTTTCATTGGTAAAGACATTTAAATTCTTAGTACCCATGTGGTAGAGGAAGAGAGCAACTCCATGAAGTTGTCCTCTGACTTCCACATGTGTGTTATGGTGTACACAACATTAAAAATAGTTTTAAATATTGCCACACGATTATGCTTCTAAATGGATACACTACATAAATGTTAAGGCCAAACTTGATAGCACATCTGTAATCCCAGTACTTGGGAGGGTCAGGAGTTCAAAGGCATCCTCAGCTAAATTGCTTAGTTTGAGGCTAGCCTGAGCTATGTTGAGACCTAGTCTCAAAAACAAAATAAACTAAGTGTCAATAAGACTTGGTCAAGAATTGATTTGCAATTTCAGACATAAACTATGCTGATAAAATGTTAAGAAATTCTGTACCTTTGAATATTTGATATGTAACTTTCCTTGATACTTTTTGTATGTATTTCATAACTTAAAGGAAATAGAATGAATTTTTTCACTATGTCTCCTCCAGTTTACCTCAGCATGTCTTATAAATACTATTATTTAATATGTAGAGGGTGTGCTATTTCACATGTGGTGGTCAGAGGACAACTTTGTGAGCTGGCTTCTCCACCATATGTGTTGCAGGAATAGAACTCAGGTCATCAGCCTTGGTGGCAATTCTCTTCCCCACTGAGCCACGCCATCAGCCCACAACCATCATGCCATACCATGCAAACAGACTGGAAAATGTTGGAAGTCTGATTGCTTCACCCGTGGGCTGACTGGAGACTTAACTGTCTTGTGGTTTCATATTTACCTTTGTAAAATAAATGTTCAACAGTGATTTTCTCAGGGTTCCTTTCTGTTTAGGAATCTAGTCAAGATGTTTCTCAACATTGCAGGCAGTTCAACAGAAGCCATTAGGTGCCTCAGGGCTGTTGTAGCGTTACTCACACAGATGCATGGGTGAACTCAACAAAATTTTTCTTGGCAAGTATTTAAAAGTGGTGTTGCTCGACTTGACTGGAATCATGTGAACTGCCAGTACAGAATGGTCTCCACATGTGCACACCTGAGTATACCACACATACAAACACACAAAAATAACGTGCCTAAGCACGTGTAAGCTTGTATGGTTAATCTGTTCATTAACTTGAATTTTTTTTATTGACAAGACACTGTCAGTGAATACTGCCAGTTGTAACTCATTCTATTTTTCTTTTCTTCTCTAATATATTACATCCCCAGCCGGTTTTCCCTTTCTCCTTTCTGTCCTCCCCACAACCTCCTTTTTACCCCAGATCCACTACTCCTCTTCCTTTAGAAAAGTGGAGGCCTCTCAGAGATATCAACCAAACATGGCATACCAAGTTATAATAAGACCAGGCATATCCCCTCATTCTAAGGCTGGATGAAGCAATCCAGTGGGAGGAAAGGGGTCTCAAAAGCAAGCAAGAGCCAGAGACAGCTCCTGCTCCAACTGTTAGTAACCCCACAAGAACACCAAGCTACACATCCATAACCTATATGCAGAGGATTTAGGTCAGACCCATACAAGGTTTCATGATTGTCACTTCAATTCTGAGAGCCCCTATGAGCCCTCCTTGTTAGTTGACTCTATGGGCCGTTTTCTTGTGGCATCCTTGTTTTATTTCATAAACTAGGTAAAAGCTATGGTACAATGTGAAATGGAGTAATTAATGGCACTTTTCTAGATTTTAATAGAATAGGTATCTTATGCTTTCATTACTAAAAATGCTAGTAAGAGGGAGGGGCTAAAGAGATGGCTCAGCAGTTAAGAGCACTGATTGCTTCTCCAGAGGTCCCAGGTTCAATCCCAGCCCCCACATGGAAGCTCACGACTGTCTGAAAATCCAGTTCCAGAGGATCCAACACCCTCACAGACATTCAGTCAAAACACCAATGGATATAAAAATAAAAATCCTTTAAAAAAAAAAAAGAGTGCTAATAGGAGGTTTGGAAGAAATAATCTCTAGTTAGATGGCTCAGAGATTGAGAGCTGGCTGCTCTTCCAGAGGACCTGGGTTCCATTCCCAGCACCCGCACTGCAGCTCACAACTGTCTATACCTCCAGTTCTAGGTGATCTGACACCCTTACAGTCACACATGTATGCAAATCACTAATGCACATAAATTATTTTTTTAAATTACTTTTTCACATGAGTTCATAGACACTGAAACAGCAAGCACAGGGTCTACACCAGGTCCTTTGTGTATGTACTATAACTAATAGCTTAGTATTTTTATGAGACTCCTGACTGAGAATGGGTGGGTCTCTGACTTTTGTGCCAGCTTTTGGGACCCTTTTTCTCCTACGGTGTTGCAGTATCCAATTTTGTTATGACAGTTTTACTTCTGTCACTTTTGGTTGTTATCCTTAGAAACCTGATCTAACGAGAGAGAAGGAGTGGGCCCAGAGAGGAGCGTAGGTACGGAGGAACTCGGAGGAGAGGAAAAAACTATAACAGGACATACTGTACGAAAAAAGAATCTATTTTCAATGTGAAGAAAATAAGACAAAAGGATTTATATTCTTTAAAAAAATGCCTTTTTAGTAACTTTTTTATTGCAGTGGTCTTGGGGTTCTCTCTTCTGGGGTATACATATGTGAGTCACATTAGTGGGTTGTTTAGTGTTAGTCTACCTCAACACATGGAATAAATCCAATAAAATTCATCTTGCCAAACAAATACACCTGAACTGTTATTTCCCTTCTTCACATTTGTTCTTAGGTGACTGTGACATCCAGGCATCAACTTGACAGCTGAAAGATACTCCCCTTTTCAGTTTTAGTAATCTTTACTACTGCCGAATTCATCCTCTTTTCCTCTGCATCCTCCCTCCTTCAGTCCTTTCTCCTCCCCTTTTGCAGAGCTGGTGATCATGGGACTTCCTATATGCTAGCCACTCTACTCCCAAGATACATGCCCAATTCCTTCCAAGCATACTTCTCACCCTACAGTTTAAGCAGCCATTTTGGTCATTGTTGCCACTCATGTTCACAGTGATAAAAGCCAGGGTCGTTCAGTTTCCTTGACATGCTCTCTACCTGCTGTTCCCCCTAAATGGCTATTTTTAAAATGGGAATCAAAGTTGTTCTCAAATCACGAAGGGCACACCATATGGGTTAATATAACAGTGACAAACTTCATTCACCTTTTCTAGTGATCTATCTTGTCATTACCCTCTTAACCTCACCCCTATTTTAGATTGTACTTTCTGATGTACAGACATACCTGAGTTTATGTGTTCCAGGTGCATGCACATGCCCACAGGAGCCAGAAGAGGGCACCAGATCCCCGAGAGCTGGAGTTGCAGGTTGTGAGCTGTGAACTGAACCCCGATCCTCTTTAAGAGCAACAGGCACTCTCTCTAACTGCTGAGCATTCTTTCTAGCCCTTACTCCTATTTTAAAAATAAATGACACCACACTTTCTACCGAGATTTAGAAAAAAGTCCACTGAAGGGGTACTGACAGCTAGAATATTAAAAGCCTTTAATATTTTTATTTAATAAAACTACATGTTTGCACAATTTCTCCTTTATCAGTCTGCTACTTCAATAATTTCATAGCATTTTTCATTAAAAAACCATCTTCATATCTGGTCTAGAAAAATAGAATTTAGAGAGCTTGACAAAATTGTGGGTGTCCTACTTAATCATTGCAGCAAAAATATACAATGATACCAGGAAGTTGATGCAGAATGCGTATTACAATCTGTCCTATCCATCTGCTTAGAAACCAACAATCTGGGAAATGTCAAATAAGACATATCACTAGAAACATGCACTGGGCCAGTGAGATGGCTCTGAGGGTGAAGGTACTTGCTGCCAAAGCTGAAGATCTGAGTTCAATCTCTGGGACCCATATGGTAGAAGGAGAGAACAGACTAATACAAATTGTCCTCTGACCTTCCCACATGTTCACCACAGTACACACACATCCCTTCATACATTAAATAAACATAATGTATATATACTATATAAATATAATTATTCACTGTACATATGCTTGTTTACTAGTTTGATAACACGGAGCCCCTTTGATCAGAATATTCTCTGCATGTCCCGCTCAAAGCCAATTCGTTACTACCAGGAAACCAGTAACGGATAAGAGTCTACTAACCTTAAGGTCAGAGGTAGTTAGCTAGAATAGAATTCCAATTGCTTTCAGGAGCTGACATAAGACTGTTTTATGTTGTTTCATGATGGATTAGTTATTAGGAGTGAATGATTGGTGATTGTTACAGTAACACCTCTCTTCTAAAGCAAATCTGAAAAAGTATGCTTCCTTAAGTACACAAAGACTTTACTATATCATACTTAACATTTATATTCTATCAGATATTTTCAAGCCAGGAAAGATAGATGCAATCTCAAAATATCTTTTTTATGTATTTATCAAAAGTATTTATAAAAAAAACAATAGAAATGGGAAATAATAGAGAACGTGCTCTTGTAAGAAAAATACTCTCCAGTGACACCTTTCAATAGTCAGTCTATCATTTTTCATGTTCTGATTTTTTTTTTTAACATTAAACACTACCAAGAAAGACGCAGTTCTGGAAAGAATTCTAAAGCACAGTGCATATATCAATTTAAATAAAAATGCAATTCAGAGTTCTATGTAAGATATACATTTATTAACAGTGAAAAAGCATTTACCCAAAGTGAGTGTTACAGAATACAGAGTGCCTCCACAGTCTGGGTAGTTCACTGCTGTAGCATTATCTCTACATAGATTTATATCTTACTCATCGGGATTCTTTGTCTCTCTCTATCACTAACCAAAATTTTAACTTAAAAATTAAGACAAAGGGGAATACTTAATTAATTTAACTTTTGAGCAATACTTACTAGAAAAAACATATTATATACATTATGTGTTCTCAACCTCTGGGTATTTTAAAACTAAATTATCTACTAAAATATGAAAAAAAACCATACTAGACAGCAGCTATAACATCAATCAAATAAACTAGTTTGGTAAAGTTCATAGGTACCATGGTAATAGCTAACGTATTAAATACAATTCTGCCACTGTATGCATGCAGAGAGAGAGAGAGAGGGAAAGGAGGGAGGATGCACTGAATTATGTAAGGCTTGCCTTGAGGGTTGAAACGGTTTGCTTTCAGTCTGGAAAACATAAAGCTTTCTGTACATATAAATTATTGTTCTAATGTCCCCCGAAGTCAGTCCAACTGGGTAAGAATCCTTGATTCTGGATTGGTAGTTTTCCAAATAAACTTGAATGAAGTTCAAGATATATGGACTTAATTTAAATAACAATACAATAAAAGTCCTCACAGGGAAATCATCATCATTTGATATTCCTTGACTAGACATTTATATTAAGCTATCAAGCAAGTGAGAATTTTAAAGGAATACCACCAAGTTCTTACAGGGTATTTTAGACAACTATTAAGAAATTGAAGAGGATATTTGGAACTATCTTTCACACTATTGCTTTTCAAGTAAAAATTTGTAAAACTGACTTCTTCACGGCTAGCTGGCTCTGCAATAATTACTACCAGATCAGGGCTGTGGTAAGCACGGATGGACTCAGAAGACAAAGCACTCTTTAAAGTTGGTTTATTAAGTGATGAAGAACTCACAGGGACTTTCTTGACACTTGAACTTGCTTCTCTCTCACGACACACAAAATCAACTCTTAGGCTTTGGTTTTAAATTATCATCTCAAAAGGCATATTTATCCAAAGGCATTAATGTTCTGTTACATAAATTTAGTTCTATTTATTCTACTTAAAAGAGTTTGGTTTTTTCATTTTATTAGAATGCTACTTGTCTGTACAGAAATACTCCCTACATTTATATAAAGCTTCTGTATTAATTTTTAGAATGAAGCAACATAGAACAGGATTTGCAACTCTGGAAAATATTAATCTAATAGATAATTTTGTGATGTTCTAACATCATCTAAACTTCGTACACAATCTAGATGATTGACATATTTATGAATACTCTACAGATTCCTGGTTACCTTTATAAAATCTACGTTATTCTTACACAGGACCTGGAGGTGACTACAAGAACATCAGACCCAAAAGCAGCAACACTGCCTTTATTCAGAAGACTGGTCTAAGGCTGGGCTTCAGATTAAATAATGTATTTCTCTAATTCTTGGCCACTGCTGTTTCTGAAGAGTGTTAAGTTACATAAAACAGCAATTTGCTGCACAGAATTCAACAAAATTTCCCAAAAGCGTACTTTACAGATAAGTTCAAACTTTATTTAAAACTACATTTTAAAGTTAACATACCAAACATCACAATGAAGGGCAGGGGTCAAGATCATAACAAATAATAATAATAATAATAATAATAATGATAGCAATAATAAAATAAAAAGAAAAATCCCACTGTGTGTCAAGAGTTGAATCTGTCCAGGATTCAGATTCTGATGTTTTAAACTGCCATGGGCAGAGATTAGCATACACATCAAAAATGCATTGTCAAACTAATTTACATTTTATACAGATCAAAACCCAGCTTTATTTAGTGTCTTTTTATATGCACTGACTATGTAAGAGAGTTAGATGAGTCCCTGAAGACAGTTCATTTACTCTGGGTTCCCACTGTTTCTGAAAAGAAGAATAATGGATAATATTTTATAAATGAGTTAATCAAATTTTACTAAAATTTATTTTTAATATTCTCTTTCATAAAAGCTTTTACTTTACATATAAGACCATAACAGAAAAAAATGTGAATTTAGTCTAAATTCCCCTACAAAACACAGAATGAGGATTTGTTTTTCATGATTAGAAACAGAGCAAACATTTCCTCTCTAAAAAACTCCACTAGGAGAAAAAGAAAGTAACTATAGAGATGATTAAATGCAGACAAAAGAAGAGGGGCTGGAGGACACACTAGAGCCCAACAGTTTCCTTGAATGCCTTGAGTCCATGAGGCTCTATGAAAAGAGAGCTGCAGCTTAGTCCACCAGCACGGGCTGATGCCCACAGAGACGCCATGTATGCAGATGGGCAGCAGTGAGCTGCAAGGGAAGCTCTGAAAGATCTACATGTTCTGTTCAACACCTCAGTTCCACAAAAACAAGGAAAAAATTATAAGATTCTAACTATTGATAGAGAATAATAAAAAGAAAATGCTTTGATTTTGATATAAAAATTGCTCTGAGCAACTCAGAAGTTGTACCATTACATCCACAGAGAAGGAAATTGGAGAGTACAATTGTAAAAACAAACAGTGTGCTTCTCTGAATAAAATTCATAAGAATCGTTATGTTTTTAAACTTTCTACAACAAAGAAGGCTAAAGGACATTTAATAAAGGTAGAAACCCAAAAGTAATGTGAGCACAATAAAAGAAGGGGCAAATGGGTTGCAATACACAGTTTTTACAGGGCAGATGAAAGATATTACATGTATTTTGAGCATTAAGAAATCATAAAACATTAACATTAGAGTTGCATCTAGTACTTTATTAAAGATTTTATAAATAGAAAACATAATCTAATATAATTTGCAAAGAATCAAGCAGCTGGATTAATTGACAGATTGCCCCTTTTCCAATAGTAGCCTTCTATTTTTTAGGAATAAATAGTATCTTTCAAAAACAAACTAGACTAGTATGATCATGATTTTTCAATACAAAATTAAAATTGGTAACTTTTACCAGGTTCTTTCAGTATCTGAGAATTTCCAGCTAATTCTTCAGTCTGCATTTCACATATTTCATCAGATAAATGGTTTTTCTGTTCTTCTTCTACCATTTTCTTCCTTAGCTCTGCCTTTAGAATGAAAATTAAAAGTATAATCTTTCATCTAATATTTGTTACAAAGATAAGCTTAGTTGAAGAGAGCCGAATACCTCTGAATAGACTGTCAGTTTGAGCGGCAAATCCTCGACTTTCACAAAGTCTTCTTCATCAGACTTTTGGCTTATGTTACCAGATTCAGCTTCCTGTAAGGTAAGTTATAGTTAATGAACAATACAAAAGCAAAAAGCACAACACCTCTGCATCAGAATCTAAATTACTCATGCCTAGAAAGAAGGTGGATTTCTATCTATTCATATTTATATGAATAATTTAAAAATGTATAGTTCACTAAACAGGGTACATAGCTACAGCTTTGAGCATACTGTTGGACCCCCTCCCTCCCTCCTGCACCCCACAGTTAAAAATCCAGTTCACAAAGGCTGAATGAATAATAGTAGTTACACTGGGAGACAAATACTAACCAGCAATTCTTTGGTGGTACTGATGATTGTACCACAGGGTCTTGCATACGCTACAAGAGCTATTTCACTATATCCCTCATCCTTATTGTTTATGTTCAGAGAATGCATTAGAATTATATTCAGAATGTAATAAATATAAGCTTTTCAAGTTATGTTTGTTAAGGCTCATAGAGAAATACTAGTTGTGAATTTAGCAATTTACTTTAGTGACCATCTCCAATTCTTTCTCTTTAACTTGAATTCTCTTCTTTCCTTAATTATCCTTTGCAATTTTAAAAACTACTATCTATTAGCTAACTCAGTAAAACCCTGAGGGTGCGTTCTCTCTCGCATCATCATCGCCATCCACTCTGCAATTGCATATGTTCTTCTGACATCTTTTTCTTAATTAAAAAAAAAATTATGTGGGCCGGGTGGTGGTGGCGCACGCCTTTAATCCCAGCACTCGGGAGGCAGAGGCAGGCGGATCTCTGTGAGTTCGAGACCAGCCTGGTCTACAAGAGNCAAAAAAAAAAAAAAAAAAAAAAAAAAAATATGTGCACGAATGTGTGAGGGTGTTGGCTCCCCTGGAACTGGAGTTACAGACAGTGGTGAGATGCCATGTGGGAGATAAGAATTAATCCGTTGGAAGAGCGGTCAGCGCTCATCACCTATCCAGCCCCCAAACAACGTATCTCTTATGCAGTCATTAGATTACTCTTCAGAGAATACAACACTGACCATTTCACTGTTTTAAGAAAAAATAATTTTCAGCATGATTCTCTGCCTAAAAATTGAAAATAAAAATGATTATAAGAATAAATCAAGCTGGATGTGGTACCACATGCTTTTAATCCCAGCACTCATGAGGCAAACAAAGGCAAGCAGTCTGCTCTTCATATAGCAAGCTCCAGGTTAGCAGGAATAAATAGAGACCATGTCTCAAAGACAAACAAACATGTAAGAATAAACTGGGTAGGGGCAATGAGATGGCTCATCTGGTTAAGATACTTCCTGCTAAGCCTGAGTTTACCCCCCAGACCCACAATGTGGATGAGAGAACAAACTCCGGCAGGCTGTCCTCTGACTTCCTCACAGGTGCTATGGTGCACACACACATATGTCACCCCCACCCCATCTCTCTTTCTCAATTAATTAATATAATAAAAAGTATTTTTTTAAAGGGGCTAGGGAAATGACTCAGTGTTTAAATGCATTGGCTGTTCTAGAGGACCCAAGTTTAAATCTCAACACCTACATGGTTGCTCATAGCCTTCTGCAATATCAGTTCCAGGTGATCCAATGTCCTCTTCTGACTTCTATAGAATCCTAAACATATATTATGCACATACATATATACACACACTCAGACACATACACTTAAGATAAATAGGCCAGGCGATGGTGGCCTTTAAACTTTAATCCCAGCACTTAGAAGGAAGAGGCAGGCTGATCTCTGTGAATTCGAGGCCATCCTGTTCTACAGAGTGAGTTTCAGGACAGCTAGGTCTACAGAAAAACCCTGTTTCAAAAAAACAACCAACCAACAAATAAATGAATAAATATTGCAAAAATGTTTGAAGATTAAATCAAGTAATTTTCAGAGCTTTAAATGCTTAAGTGTACACTGAAAAAAAAACCTAAGCAACTTATAAGAATATGTTCCTATTGATGTTTTTGAAACATTCTCAGTTCCCTTTCTGACCAATTTGTGAGTCCTAACTATAAAAATACCACTGGAAGACAATAAATTTTAACTTTTAAAAAATGAACCAATGTCTAAGTGGTGACAGACACCTGTGATCCCAGCACTCAAAAGGCAAAGGCAGGATAACACCTAAAGTTCCAGGCCAGTCTGTTTCTCTATCAAGTTCCAGATTGGAGGGATCAAAGTAACAAACTCAAAATGCCAAAACAAAAAGGGGAGAGGGATACATTGTATCCTTCGAGGTTCAAATATTATGCTACAAATCTCTTCATTTTTGCTAAGAAAAATTATATTAAAAATACACAACCCACACATCCCCAAACTAATATGTTTGCTACTAAACTGAAATGAAATTAAGGTTCAGAGTGAAACTAAACTTACATACTTATTATAAAGTGTAATTTCCTAGTATGTTGTTTTGTAATTTGTTACATACAAATATTGACTCTGTTGAACAGTTCCCTGCCATACCCCAAATTTATACCTTCAGGTATATCAAAGGATTTCAAATTGCCCCCAACAGTTAAGAAGTAAAACCTCGATAGTGTAAGAGATTAACTGATGCTTCATGAATCACTAGCACTTTAGGTCTCAACAGAAACTCCTGTCATCTGTAACTAAATTTTTTGGTTTTCAAAACTATAAAACCTTCAGTTTTTGAGATGGTCATTTAATTTACAACCACTTTCCTATCAAACTAAGCATGAATAAGAAAGAATAAATGTTCTGACAGGTTCTGAACCTAACCACAAAGTGAAGTTTGATTTATATGCTCAATATATTACTCTCAAAAATGAAATATACACAGAAATGAAAAGGCAAAAATACTTAGAAATGTAATTATTACATACATAGTCATTCACTAACACGGGAGATTCAGTATCAGGACTTCCAGCCAGAGAGCTCTCGGGAGTCTCCTGAGCAGATTTCACTTCTTTGACTCTAGGCACTAAGGCTTCGCTTGCAGTTAAGGGTAATGGCATAGGGTCTGGCTGTTTAGATGAATCAGTGATAGTGAGTGAGTCCTTATGGGCAGTGCTACTTAAGGGTTGTCCATTTTCCAAGATATTGAGATAACAAGGCTTCACAGGAGAGCTGTCTTGGTTATCTGCCATCAAAAGAAAGTCTCCGCATTACAGAAATGAAGCATCTGTTCAATTTTATGCTAAATAAAGACAGTATTATGAATGAGAGTAATCAAGACATGTAAAACCCAAAAGATCCCTATCCAGATTTTCCTTATCATGGTTCCCAAGTATAGCTGAACAGATTTAGCAAGGAACATGTTAATTTAAATTCCTGAAGGCCAAGTGATTTCAATGATTTAGGAATAATGAATTAGGATTTTTAAGACTAAAGCCCTAAAATGAGTATTATTTTAAAACAAACAAAACCAAAACAAACTTCCCTCATTTTTCTCTCAAGAGTCTGTAAATAAATAAATGTCAAATATAAATCTAAGAGAAGGGTGTGGGGAGAACTGAAGAGATAGCTTAGTCGTTAAAGGCACTTGCTGTTTTCACAGGGAACTGGAGTTCAGGTCCCAGCACCCACACCAAGTAGTCCACAATGGCCTGCAACTGCAGTTCTGGTAGCCTCTTCTGGCCTCTGTGGTCACTACATGCACATGGTACACATGCACATACTTAGGTACACACACATTTAAGAAAGCAAATAAATAAAGATACTTGTAGTGAGCAAGAGTCCCATGGTTTTAATCCCAGAATGTGGGAAACAACAGGCAGATTCCCAATCTGGAGGCCAGCCTGATTTATATAGGGGGTTTCAGGCCACCCAGGGCTATATACTGAGACCCCTGCCTCAAAATAAATATACAAACAAATGGAAAATAATTGCTAGTTGGATGTACAATATGGGTGCATATACCTGCAATTCAATGACTCAGGAGGTAGAGGCAGAGGATCTGAAGTTCAAGGTTATCTTTAAACTACATAAAGAGTTCAAAGGCCAGCTTGGGGTACATTTATCAGGATAACAACAATAGACATTAAGTACATTAAGTCCACAATAGACATTAAGTACATTAAGTCCAAAGTGTCTTTACACTAATATTAGTTAGGAATTAAAACCTACTTTTTTAGTTTTAAGCACACTGAAAAATATTTTAAAGAATCTAAAACTTGGGGTTATTTAGACTTCTTACTCTTACTAGTTGGTTCTTGGTCTGATGGTACACTTGTGCTTTCTGGTGTTTTTTCAAGATCATGTTGTAGAACCTAAAAGAAAAATATGTTTTAATAGCAAGACCTAAAAATATGTGGTCGCTATAGAAATGATAATTAATACTATGTGCTTCTTGTCCAACCCCAGAGCTATAAAAAGAAAAATCTAACAGTCTCTTCTCAAATGTTTCAAAGAGGCTTTAGTTTATAACTGAAAGATGGGTAATTAAAAAGGTTTCCTTCTTAGATAAGCACAAAACAAATGACAGAATAAAATAGGTCCTATAAGTTTTTACTATTTTTCTCAGGATCTCATCTTAAAATGAAAGGCTATCTTTAACTGTAACCCTTAATGAATTGAAACCCTTAAGCAGAAGTGATAAAGAAGAGAAAGACAAACAAAGTCAAGTGTTTGTAGCAGAGGAAGAAACAGGATATGAATTCATCTCACAAATGGAAGTACCTGCTGCCAGTGAGGGCTACAATAGTAAGACAGAGGTTGATTATCATCACAAGGAGCAATGCTGGTGAGTTGTTTTAGAAAGTAGTTGACTCCTGGTGTTTTATGTCCAACCTCACAGAAGATGGAAGATGATATTTTATAGAACTGAGCTAGCTAGCTAATAGTGGGAGGAGAGAGAGGTAGAATAAAAAATGCATTAAAATGAGGACTTGGTTAAAAAAAATCATAAAGAAAATTAGGGTCTAATCTAAGTCTACAACCTACTCTACCCACTTAATCAAGAACACCAACAGTGGAACTTCCATGACCCAGGGTTGAGAACAGAGAACGGTTTTTGGATAAACCACTCCAACGAAAGTACCAATATAAACTTAGAACTGGAACTTTCTATCAGAAAGTAAACTGCCTATAAAAATGCCTTATAGAGAAACTCCATAGAACCCAAGCCATTTTTTCAAAACAGCATGTGTATGTTCGTCTCTATAAATCGTTAAACAGTCAAGGTCCAACAGATAGATATTTAAAGCTTTCAAGGATAGATGAAAATACATGACATCATATAAAACAATCAGGGAAATGTTAAAGGCTTTTAGACACAGTAGGTACGAAAGTTGAAATAAAGCTAATTAATACAAGTATTAAGATCCGAGATACAGTCCAAAAAATAAAGCAAAATGATAAAACAATGGGACAGTAAAAAGAACAGAGGGAAAAATGAGATATCAACCAAGAGTTAACTATTTTACAATATATAATTTCCACAGACAGAAGAGAAAATGGTGGCAAATAAAGAAATTTAACAAATATAAGAATATATATAGAAAAAAACTAAACAAATACCCAGATGATAGAAAAAAAATCACAATAAAGCTGTAAAACTCCAGAAGTTTGGGGGCTGAAAATCTTTTAGTGTAGGGAACAGGACAAAGCTATACACATAGGGTTAAAATGAAGAAATCACAGGACATCTGCGAAGCAGCTCTTTGACCAAGATGATGAAGCAGTAAGATCAATCTCTAAAGGAAAATACCTTCAACACTCAAAATTTTTTTTGAAAATATGTAATATCTAAAAATATTAACCTTTTATGCATTTTCTCAGAAGGTTACTAGATGGTTTATAACCACTGAGATGAGGTCACAAATTACAAATAAGACAAAGCTAGATTGCATAAATAGAAACCTGATGAAGATAATGGAGAAAATGGATTCTTAGGTTGGTAACTATTCAGCAGATTTAGAATACAGCAGAAAAAGATAATATTTGAAGAAGAAAACAACAACAACAAAAAATCAATTAGCTTTATCTACCAAATTTTGTGGGGAGCCTTGTATAGACAGCTACTAGAGAACAGGATAGAATACTCAGGGATGTATATGTTCAAAGAATGCTAATAAAAATGGAGACAATTACTAAATGTGGTGGAAGATATATAAAGAAGCAGTAACAATATTAACTTGGCTCAGCAGCTGAAAATATTTATATTGTTTGACTAAGTCTAAATATTAAACATAAATTTACCACTAACACACACATACACATACACAGTCACTCAAAAAAAAAAAAAAAAAACAGAAGTAAACAGCAGAAGAAACTGTACCAGGTATAGCCTCTTGGTTTAGATAAAGTAAATGCAGGAAAACAAATGATTTTATGATATAAAATACTTTAATTTGTGACTAGGAGAAAAATAAGAAACTTATTCGTATCTTCTAAAGTATCTTATAGTTTTATAACTTACTATAAAAAAGATTAAAGTATTTTAAAGATTATAAAAGTAGGTGTTTATTTTGTTTTTGAGACAGGGTCTCCTTGTTTAGCCCTGGCTGTCCTTGAATTAAGAGAGATCTGTCCACCTTTGCTTCCATATTACTGGGATTAAATATATATGTCATATACCTGGAATGTTTCAGGTCTAAATAAATACACTAATTTTTCAATAAATAGTTTTCTAATTATGAAAATGATGGTGGAAAAAGCACACACTTTGATAGCTTTCAGAAGACTCTTGTTTTCAGTGGCTGAGAAAGGACAGGTGTTTGTAACAGAATACCTGACTGTCGTGTTCATTTTCTTCTGTAGTTTCAGTATTAGCCTGAAGTGAAGTCTGGACATCCACAGGACTCTCTTCAAAGTCTTCCATTTCTTCATCCTCATTTTCATCTTCTCCACTTCCATAATTAGTTAGAGCCTGACTTTCAGCTTTAGACAGATCTAAGTTGATTACACACAAATTTTAGTAACTCACAAATTCATCTTCAGGATGGGGGTGGGTGTACAGATGAAGTAAGTCTCACTGTGTTGCTGGTTCTAACTCCCGAACTGAAGTTAGCCCAGTACCTCAGTCTCCTGCTGTTGTGCATCACCACATCACCCATGCAATCTTAGTAATGGTGACTTTGTCTATTCTATCACTGAGTGATACAGGTACTGTATATACTATATCTGAAACATTCAAATCAGTGTACACTTCAAAACTGTGGTGCAGAATGGGAAGGTAATTTAATCAGGTTACACAGATCACTCAGTCCTAATGATACTGCGACTCAAATCTCAATGCATCACTACAGAAAACGTATGTATAAATATGTCTCAAAGCCTTTAAACTTACTAATAGACACTGGACACCTTTCACTTTCTTCATCTTCCTCTTGATCAGAAACATCAGATCTTACATTTTTGGGACCTTTGGCATCATATGCCTCAGAAATCTGAGTCTGTTTAACTGTTTCAGTCTCATCCTTGTCCTGTAAACAATGTAAATAATAATTAGCTCTTGGAGTACTTTAAAAATGTATATATGGTAAAGCTTTCATAGCAATAATAACCACTCTGTTATAAAGAATTACTTCTGACATTCTAGTTTTGTTTTACAAGAAAAACCTTGGTTTGTCAGAAGAAAAGACATTTACATACTTTACTTGTAAAAAGAATTAAGATAAAAGGTGTTAAAATTGTGTTTTGTTCTATAAGCATTATTTATAGACACAAGTTAGCACATACTTTGTCTTCATCATCAATCTCTCCAGCAGGTGAGCCATGATCGCCTTCAAGAATCCTTTTGGCCTAATAGCAAATCAATTAAATAGAGTTCAGCAGGAATACTTATGTAATTCCAGTTTTTCTAATCTTAATAAGCCAGCAAATCAGCTTTTTTTGTCTATAATTATTCACATATAAACCACTGGAATTACTTACTCAATTGTCAAAAATATGTGCTTGCACACCAATCTAAGACATTAACTTATCATTTATTTCTCAGTTTTATAGATATGTAACTTTATCACATCTCATATTTTCCTCTCACTGTCTATTTTTCTAAATGAATGTTTATGTATATTTGTGTGCGCCTGTGGAGATCAGAGAATAACCTCATATTTTAGTCCTTATTAGTGTAGTGTGTGTGCGTACACCTGTAGAGATCAAAGGATCACCTCACATCTCTACCTTGAGATGGGCCAAATTTTTGTTTCCTACTATATACCTAGACAAGTTGGTTGTTAAGTTCTTTACTACCCCTATGGCATCACTTCCATTCTCATCACTTGACTTCCTTTGCAACAGCTTGGTTCAGAACCTACAAGCATTCCAGGCAAGTACCCTATCAGGAGCTCACATTTCCACTCTACTTAGAAGACTTTTGTCTTTATGGCCCTGTTTTGTTCAACTGCTCAACTCTGCCTTAGAATCACTACACTGAATTTTTTCTCTATGCAAAGCTTTCCCCCTTCCTCATGATGAACTTCTGTCTTTCAGGTCTACACTCATATTTCTGCCCCTGGCAAGAGTCTCAGGAGACTGCCCATCTAACACAGACTAAAAGACCTCTTTTCCAGGAATTACTGTGGTATTCTGCGACTTTATTTTCCTTAGGTATTTAGCAATGGTTGAAATGAATTCTGTCTAGAATAAAAACAGGAGCACTAGAGAAAATGGCCTAACTCTATTTTAGAATCTAAGTTAGATGGATTTCTCTGTCTGGGTCCTGGCTCACTTTCCCTTCTTGTGGTCAGAGAATAAGGAAAGGCTGCTTACAAGGAAAGCCTCCTAGTAAGTCTTCCACTACAGGAGAATTAACGATCCAGTCTCACATGCAGTCATGATTAACAAGGCAGAAAAACTAGAGCCCTAGCCAATGGACAGATGCTTGTTGGCTGGAAGTGACTTCCTTGTGATACATATTCTTGGAGACTCCCTGGCATTTGGCAACAGCCATCATAGGAAAGCTGACCAGGAACTAGATCCAGGTTCTCTCCTCTTTGGAGCGCTTAGTAAGAAATACTGAAGTGGACTGGACACCTCAAAATTCAGAGTTAGCATCCATTCCTGTCTGTACTTTTGCTCTCCCCTTTGTGGTAATCCTAAGTTTAGGATGTAGGCCAAGTACTGATTTACACACTTGACTATGGTTTTACTAAAAATAACTGTTCTTGTTGAGGTCAAATGAGAGTTTATTTACTAATAATGATCAAGGACTGTAATTTAAGGCTAATGATAGCTATTCTTAAAAAGCAAAGGGAAAGTTACCTCTTTAGCATAAGACTGTATCACTCCAGCTGCTTCAATTTTCCTTTTGCATCTCTGTTTAACAGCTATACTATTATTATCCAAGTCTTGCATGAGCTTAAAGAAAGCCAACTCATTAAACAGCACTTCAGATATTTCTACAAGAAGATCTTCTCCACAGTCTTTCAGTTTTCTGCCTGCAAATTTTGCTAGTGAATCCTATTTAAAGATAAAACAAACAATTTTAAGATCATAGTAAACTTCAACTGTGGATAAAACAATACAGACGGTTTAAAAGATTAAACTATAATACTTGCCTAGAGAAAACCAATATTCCTGATATTTTATATGTATATAAATATAGACTCTGAGATTTTTTCTGAGATTTTAATGCTCTATTTCTCCTTTCCTTTTCCTCCCTCCAACCCCTCCCACATACCCTTGCTTGCTCTTTCACCCTTACTTCAATATATTGTTACACACACACACACACACACACACACACACACACACACACGGTGTGTGTGTGTATACATAAATAGATAAGCAGAACCTGCTCAGGCTGTATAACGTTAGTTCTTTGTGTATGACTGAGACCTCCTGGAGTTCCCCTATCCACATTAGCGTGTCTACTGCCATTGTCCGTGTTCCAATACTTTTCAAAGTATTGGAAAACCTGAAGCTAAAGTATTACTATGAAATATTCTATTACAAAGCAGACATCTTGCTAGCCTCATTTAGAGTATAAACAAGGGGAAGAAAAAATATACAGTCATCTATAAATATAGTACTTTCTTAATATAAACCTTGGGCACAAAAGAGTAAAACAGACTCCGAATCTCCAAAAAGTTCCCAGGGAGTACATGTAGGAACTATATATGCACTACAGCAATGAATATATTAACTACTATGTGAGGATAAACTCTTTTCCTCATCAGCATGGTGCCAAATATTGCTAGTTTCTTCCTTTACATTTAGCCAACCAGTCATCTTCATTTAAAATTGTCTCCAGAAAAGTTTGTAAGTAAGCATTACTTCTACTCAAGAGGAAACAAAGCATCATCATATGAGTAATTGTGCTATTTTATATAAAGGACTTCCCTTTTTCTTTCTTGCAAAAATATGGGCTATGCTACTCAGAGAAAAGGTAAACTACAATGTTGTGTCACGTTAGCTACTGCCCAACACAGAAACACTATCTATACAGCCACAGAAACTACATGTATGCTAAGAGACTTGCAACACAAAACTTCTGAACAGAGTTCAGAAAAAAAAAAATTCAAAACCAATACCTTGTGGTCTAGCTCATGAAAGAAAGCAGAGACACAGGGAGGGAAGAACAGGGGAGGAGAAAAAAGATTCTAGGTAATATTTAATTTAAATTAACTTTTGTTCTTAAATAGACATAACCTCGTAGGAAAAAAAAAAAAACAGGAAGAAAATGAAAGAGGTTTAGCAGCATGCCTGGCCTCTATCTAGTACATCTCTTCCTCCTTTTCCTTCTTATCTCTCTCCCACTTTACCTGCTATATGAAACAAACACCTACAGCCACTGTCAAATGTCCCCTGGGACACAAAAGTCTTCTCTAGCTAAGAATCACAGTCTCACCATAATTTATAGTTGAAGTTTATCTGAGCATTAGAAAGTAATTACTAGAGGTTAGACAGTGTGGGAGGGAAGGAAATAAAGGAAGTCAGATAACAGGTATAAAACAAATAGGTTCATTGTAAGTTCTGTTTTGTCATAGTGGCATGGACACAGTTCACAGTAAACTTCAGCTGTTATGAATATCTAGATGAGAGGAGCTTCAAAGGCTCCAAATAAAACAGATAAGGAGAGTGAAATGCCAATAATCAAACACATACTAACAGTTACTTTTATGATATAAGCAAGGTTATTCATATTCTAAAAAGTTTCTCTAATTAGAGGCTAGTTTCTAGCTTCTAAAATTTCTCATTATTTAAAATTAAACCAGAGCATGCTTTTCTTTTAGTCTTAAACTATTCGCATGGTAGAATATCAAACCAGATTAAAGAACAAATTCCACAGGAGTGGAACTGAACAAGAATCCTAGGACAGAGTGGGCCTGAGGAAACAAGCTCCACTGGGAGCAGAAGCCAGGAGCAAATCCAGCCTTGGAGCCAACCAGTCCCAGAACACTGGTGGATCAGGACTGAACCTGCGACCAGATCCAGAGTCAGCAATCTCTACCAGAACAGGTCCAACTCCAAGCCAGGGACTTCTGTAGGAGGGGATCCAGACCAAGATTTACAAAAACAGATCAAAGCCAGCAGCCTAGGCCAAAGTTGGCCTAAGACAGCAAACTCCAAAGGAGCAGACCAAAGCACAGGAGTACTGAGCTATCTCCAGGAACAGGAATAACCAATGGGGTAACTAGAACTGTGACACTGACTGTACCACGAGGAAAACCATCTTAGCTTTGGATTCACTGGTACCTACAAGATTATTCAACAGAATCTCAGACAGCCCCAACCAACCTATTAGAGGAAAAGATGAGTAGAAAAGATAAAGTCACACATTACCAGTAAAACCGAAAGACCCTATAAAAGCAAGACCTGAACAACCAAATATGGATAAACCAGAAGAAAATGATCTAAAAAATAGCCTCAAGAGAATGTTTGGAATTCTTAAAGATAAAATGAGAAATTTCCTTAAAGAAATGGAGGGAAGCCAGGCAGTGGTGGCACATGCCTTTAATCCCAGCACTCAGGAGGCAGAGGCAGGCGGATCTCTGTGAGTTCGAGGCCAGCCTGGTCTACAAGAGCTAGTTCCAGGACAGGAACCAAAAGCTACGGAGAAACCCTGTCTCGAAAATCCAAAAAAAAAAAAAATAAATAAATAATTAAATAAATAAATAAATGAAGGAAGGAAGGTATCAGCAAATCACTTATAGAAAACCAAGAAAAAGAAATTAAACATATAAAAGAAACTATTCATGGACTTAAAAATTGAAATAGAAACAATAAAGAAAACACAAGCCGAAGGAATTACAGAACCAGAAATCATGAGAAAAAGATCAGGAACCACAAAGCAAGCAAGAACAGCAGAATACAAGAAATGGAAGAGATAATCTCAAGTGGTGAAGATACGATAGAGGAAATATTCATCAGTTAAAGAAAACATTAAATCTAACAAAAGCTTAACCCAAAATATCCATGAATATGGGACACCATAAAAAGGCCAAATCTTAGAATAACAGGTATAGAAGAAGGAGACGAAGTTCAACTCAAAGGCACAGAAAATTTATTTAACAAAATCATAGAAGAAAACTTGCCCTACCTAAAGAAAGATAACCCTATGAAGATATAAGAAGCTTACAGAACACCCAATAGACTGGATCCAAAAAAAGTCCTCTCGCCTCATAATAATCAAAACACTAAACATACAGAGTAAAGAAAGAATATTAAGAGCTGCAAAGGAAAAAGGCCAATTAATATAAAGGTAGACCTATCAGAATTACACCTGACTTCTAAGTGGAGACAATGAAAGCCAGAAAGTCAAGCATTATGCAGACATTAAGAGACCATGGATGCCAGCCCAGACTACTATACCCAGCAAAACTGTTGATCACCATACAAGAACAAAACAAGATATTCCAAGAAAAATCTAGATTTCACCAATACCTAGCCACAAACCCAGGCCTACACAAAATACTAGAAGGAAAACTCCAACCCAAGGAAGATGGCTACACCAACAAAAACAGAGACAATTGGTGATCTCATTACAGCAAATCCCAAAGAAGAAAAAACTGCACAAATTAATATGACCAACAATGAAAACTAAATTAACAGGAGAGAGCAACCACTGGTCATTAATATCCCTTAATGTAAATGGACCCAACTAACCTATTAAAAGGCACAGGCTAACAGAGTGGATATGAAAAAAGAATCTGTCCTTCTTCTGCATACAAGAAATGTATCTCAACCTCAAAGACAGACATCATCTCAGAGTAAAAGGTTGGGAAAAAAATATACCAATCAAATGGACCTAAGAACAAATGGGTGTAGCTATCCTAATATCTAACAAAATAGACTTCAAGCTAAAATCAGTCAAAAGAGACAAAGAAGGACATTTCGTATTAGTCACAGGAAAAATCCATCAAGAGGAAATTTCAATACTGAACATCTATTCCCCAAATACAAGGGCACCCTCATATGTCAAAGAAACACTTCTTTTTTTTTCTCACTTTTTTTTTATTTATTTATTAAAGCTTTCGGTCTCTTCCCCACCGCCGCCTCCCCTTTCCCTCCCCCTCCCCCAATTAAGTCCCCCTCCCTCGTCAGCCCAAAGAGCAATCAGGGTTCCCTGCCCTGTGGGAAGTCCAAGGACCACCCACCTCCATCCAGGTCTAGTAAGGTGAGCATCCACGAAACTGCCTAGGCTCCCACGAAACCAATAGGTACAGTAGGATCAAAAACCCATTGCCATTGTTCTTGAGGTCTCAGTAGTCCTCATTGTCCACTATGTTCAGCTAGACCGGTTTTAACCCAGGCTTTTTCAGAACCAGGCCAGCTGGCCTTGGTGAGTTCCCGATAGAACATCCCCCTTGTCTCAGTGTATGGGTTCACCCCTCGCGGTCCTGAGTTCCTTGCTTGTGCTCTCTCTCCTTCTGCTCCTGATTTGGACCTTGAGATTTCAGTCCGGTGCTCCATTGTGGGTCTCTGTCTCTGTCTCCTTTCATCGCCTGATGAAGGTTAATATTCAGGAGGAAGCCTATATGATTTTCTTTGGGTTCTCCTTCTTATTTAGCTTCTCTAAGAACCCGAATTATGGGCTCAATGTCCTTTATTTATGGCTAGAAACCAAATATGAGTGAGTACATCCCATGTTCCTCTTTTTGGGTCTGGCTTACCTCACTCAGGATGGTGTTTTCTATTTCCATCCATTTGCCTGCAAACTTCAAGAAGTCCTTGTTTTTTACTGCTGAGTAGTACTCTAATATGTATATATTCCATACTTTCTTCATCCATTCTTCAATTGAAGGGCATCTAGGTTGTTTCCAGGTTCTGGCTATTACAAACAATGCTGCTATAAACATAGTAGAGCATATACTTTTGTTGTGTGATAAGGCCTCTCTTGGGTATATTCCCAAGAGTGGTATTGCTGGGCCCATGGGTAGGTTGATCCCGAATTTCCTGAGAAACCTTCACACTGCTTTCCAGAGTGGTTGCACAAGTTTGCATTCCCACCAGCAATG